GTTGTGTGTGTGTTGTGTGTGTTGTGTGTGTGTGTGTGTGTCTGTGTGTGTCTGTGTGTGTCTGTGTGTGTCTGTGTGTGTCTGTGTGTGTCTGTGTGTGTCTGTCTGTCTGTGTGGTGTCTGTCTGTGTGTCTGTCTGTGTGTCTGTCTGTGTGTCTGTGTGTGTGTGTCTGTGTGTGTGTGTCTGTGGGTGTGTGTCTGTGTGCGTGTCTGTGTGTGTGTGTCTGTGTGTGTGTCTGTGTGTGTGTCTGTGTGTGTGTCTGTGTGTGTCTCTGTGTGTGTGTCTCTGTTTGTGTCTCTGTGTGTGTCTCTGTGTGTGTCTCTGTGTGTGTGTGTGTCTGTGTGTGTCTCTGTGTGTGTCTTTGTGTGTGTGTGTGTCTGTCTGTGTGTCTCTCTGTGTGTCTGTGTGTGTGTGTCTGTGTCTGTGTCTGTGTCTGCGTCTGTGTCTGTGTCTGTGTCTGTGTCTGTGTCTGTGTCTGTGTCTGTGTCTGTGTGTGTGTGTCTGTGTGTGTCTGTGTGTGTCTGTGTGTGTCTGTGTCTGTGTCTGTGTGTGTCTGTGTGTGTCTGTGTGTGTCTGTGTGTGTCTGTGTGTGTGTCTGTGTGTGTCTGTGTGTGTCTGTGTGTGTCTGTGTCTCTGTCTGTGTGTCTGTCTGTGTGTCTGTGTGTCTGTGTCTGTGTGTCTGTGTGTCTGTGTCTTTTGTCTTTTGTCTTTTGTCTGCGTCTGTGTCTGTGTCTGTGTCTGGGTCTGGGTCTGGGTCTGGGTCTGGGTCTGGGTCTGGGTCTGGGTCTGTGTCTGTGTCTGGGTCTGTGTCTGTGTGTGTGTCTGTGCGCTTCTGTGATTGTTCGTGGCAGGGCAAATCAATGTAAATCTGCTGCGGGTTGCTTTCTTGCGAAGCAGTGCTCGGAGTGGAGTGATGCAGGAGCCAGTTTTTGCGCGCTTGGGCAATTGAGAAAGCAGTGGTTTAATGCTTCGAGGAGTTGGCTCCTGCGTCCGGATTCAACCGCGGCCAGCTGAGCAGGTACCTCCTGCTCAGTTCCCGCCTTGGATGATCAACCTCATGTCCGAGGCAGGGCGTCATGGCACGTTGCATTCAGCGCCGATGTTTTGTTGTTGCTTTTCAAAGCATATTATGTGGCTCATGTTTGGCAGGAAGTGTCATCATCCGACAACGATACATCCAAATGAGTATCAAAGCGAATCATTGCCCTCAATCAGTAAGCATGGACTTCCGTTTGTGTCATGTGTTTCTTCCTTGGGTAGAGTTCCAGATCTCGTGCGGCTAGCTTGCAGTTGGGACTACTTGTAAATGTGGAGCGAAGATCCAGCGAGCCCATTGCCCATTGCTCCGACGAAGCAAGGTAAGCATGAACATGGAACACCACATATTGCCATGGACCCAGCCACTGACTGAGGTGTAAACCATGGGCTTTCTCACATGCTATCCTTCAGAGCTGATCGAACATAGTTAGCCAGCAGTCTGAAGTTAGAAAAGCTGGCAAGTGCCGGGTCGCGAAATTGCAAACCTGGCAAGCGTGAATTCTGAATTAGAGTCACTGTAGAAAACACATACCGATTCGTGGATGCCATCACTGCACAGGTGATGCCTAAATGCGGCTATCTCAACATGCAGGAGTGGCCAGATGCTTGCCTGCAACCGTGTTTGGGATGCCCTGGCCACGCTTCCAATCGATTGCGAAGGTTGTTCGCTTGCTTTTTCATATCTGTTGGTTTCCCAATGTTCAAATAGCCAGGCAAGAAGGACAGGCCCTTTGCAACGCGACCACGCCAAGGACTGCTGCAACTTGAACCTCTACATGGATGGGGGCTCCACTGTTGGCTGGCATGCAGATGATGAGGCGCTGTTCCAAGGCTCGGACCGCACTTTGCCTTGGGAAGTCGTGGGGCTTATTCTGTTCACAGGCATGACCGCTTGCTTGTGCAGTGCCTTTGCTTGGTCAAGCGCAGTCAGGTCGAATTGGAGGAATGATGTTGGGGTGTAGGAGACGGACGCGCCTGTGGCCGGGGGGGGTGCAATGCAGCTACTGGTGTGATTGTCATATTCCACAATATTCTACATGGCTATGCTAGCTTGCAGGTGGCATGCTCAAGCAGGCAGTTATGCACAAGCATGAACTTATGGGGTTTCTTGGTAGAACTTGCCGTTTATCAATTGAACATGTCAAGTTAAGCATCATTTTTTGTAACGGAAAGAAACAGACATCATGACATACTGAACTTGAAGAAGGTGCAGGCACCTGTGAATGTGTAAGGCAAGGAGGTTTGACTTAGGTGGCTAATTTAGCACCGGTTCGCCATTAACTTGCAGAGGTGATGCCAACAAAAGAGCGTGTTGATGCTCGCCATCCCAAACTAGATTGAACATGTTGCCCCCATTCAGCCGCAATCAGCCCAATGTATGCGCGTGTTCTTTTTGCCTTTGCTCCATGGCCATCGTAGCCCTTGATGGCTTTCACCGATGGCCATTGCCAGGCAAGTTTCGGGACATCACCATTCTCTCCATGTCCTTGGGCATTGCGAGGCAGGTCCGTCCGGGGAAGCTGAAAGCCGCAAGTTCACAGATCGACTTCAACTTCGTCTGGGTTCGCGGAAGTTGTTCGATTTCCAGCGAACACCCCCCGCGCCAGAAAATACCATCGTGTCCATTCAAGGAGTCCTTTTGGACCATGTTGTCATTGCCTTTAGAGGTGACGGCCCAAAAGTTAAGGACTGGCGTCAAGGACGGCAGGCCCCTGTCCTTTTGCCCTGTGTGCCATTCTCTGATACTCGCGAATACTCCCTTGCATTTCATCGTGCAAACACGCCCAAATGAATCGTTTGGCCGGGCATTGTTCTGTGATTACGTACGGGTTTGGATGAGCAATGGGTATCAAGCTAAGGCAGCTGAGGCCCTCATGGCCGCTATTGCCAGGGCACTCGGCAGTCGGGGGGCTTTGGTGCCATGAGGCTTTTCGAACTCCGCTACAACTGGCCGGAGATGCAAGGAGAGGACGCATCTTGGCGAGGGTCCCCCCCTTGGTTTCAGTCAGTTGTCGAATCGTGCCACGAGCTTCCATATTCATCTGCACGTTGGCTCCGTGACCTGGCATCCCCTTTGTAGTGCAAAAACCTGGTCCAATCGTGCAAGGAAAGGAAGAGCTGGGAAGCCACCAAACAAAGCAGCTGCCCCGAGCGAGAAAACCCTTGGATGTACCTTGATCTACCCTCTTAGCGTGAGCAACCTCAGGAAGTCCAACGTGTGCGCCTTGGAAATGGAGACCTGATGACGATGGAGGGCATGACGCAGACACTGGGCAGTGGGAAAGGCAGTTCGCTTCACTCTCTCTTCAAGAGAACGGGGCAAAAGCTGTTGCGTTGTTCAGCCTTAGATTTGCAAATCCCCATGCTGTTTAAGATCCGCGACCAGGCTTGCTCACCAAACAACTCGAAAAATTGATGCATGCATGTCCGTCAAGCTGTGCTAAGAAGTAGTTTGTTGTTTTCTCGTACTGTCAGAGTACTGTCAGCTTCAAAGTCACACCCACTGAGAACACAAAAGAATGCGTTTACCGTTGGCCATCCAATGGAGCGTGGGAACTTGTTGGGCTGGACATTGCGGCCAGGCGTGTTTTCGCATGCTGATGTGCTTCCATCGCGAGTTGTAGTCCCAGTAAAGCACAGCTTCAGCTTTGATGCTCGGCGGGGCGAGGCACCGCTTGCCGGAGAACCAAACCGGAATGCGGACCTTGCGAGTTTGATTCCACGCAGCTTCCGGTACAGTGATTGCTGGGGGTGAGAGGGTAAGAGCCCCACGCTCCTGCCGTTGCGCCCCAGGAAGCACTTGCAGCACCGCGTGCCCAAGGAGAACGTCCAAGGGCCTCGCATAAACCTGACCTGGAGATGGGTCAGAAGCCAAGACACGTGCTGCCATGCGCCGGAAAGCGACGCGTAGACTCCCCAAGGGCAGTGTTTTTTGAGTGTACCATTTTTGGGATTGGTCAAAGGGAGAGCAAAAGGAAAACCACCATCTCCAACGTTTGACACATACCTACGTGTCTTTGTGCACTTCTTTTGGAAGGCCTTAGGGATCGAGTTATGTTAATTAAGCCATGTTAAGCCTTTGAGGAATTTGCATAGGCACACTGGCTCGCCAGAGATTCGTTTGCGCAAACTCGCAACCACTCTTTGGGATTTTGGGGCCTTGTGTTTGGACAGTCGGCTGGATTTGAAGGGCATTAGCACCAATAATAGTCTCCCGAAGCCCTGCCGGCTGCCTCGCCGAGTAGTCAGTGAATCTCATCCATTTCCAAGGGTATCTGAGCCCCAACCTCTCCCCCCCACCCCTCAAGATAAGCTGCCGACAGATCCAAGGTGAAGCGGCACAAGGCAGGCTGCCCCATGGGCCGCCGGTGACGCCCAGCACCGGCCGGCGAGCGTTGGATGCACCGGCGTACGCATCGATCCAGTCAGATTCAGCAAGCTTGAAGCACCTCTAGCGTTTGCTACTGACTATATGCCATGTGGATTGATGGCCTCATTTTATTTTGGGACCCAGCACAAGACAGCAGCATGTTCAAAGTCAAGAGCACGCCCTGTTCCACTCTGTGACCAGCAGCACGAGTTTCGCTCAACACGTCCAAAGCAACCGGGTGTTTGGTGGGAATGTGCACCGTGGCTTGAAAATGCTGAGCCTCCACTTGTGGAGGCCACAAAGTCGCATGAGCCAGAGTGCAGCGAGAGTGTTGCACAGCCTGGTCGGCTTGGTGCAACTTGCGCGAGCTCTAGGAGATGCGTGTGGCTGAATAGCGCCACTCGGGGGGCCATTGTTTGCCCTTTGCCTTGTTGACGCGACTCGGAAGCGCGCCTTTGTGGAAAAGGCATTGGTTCCGCGTTGGGCGAGCTGAAGCCACTGAATTGGCAGCAAGAGCCTCGCAGGTGCCAGATTGCCCACCCACACCCTCTAAACAACGAAGCAAGGGGCTTGCAGTTGCACTGGGCTTCTTAAAAGATACATGTTGCGCACTTGAAACATGGTTTTTCCCACCAACAAACAGGGAAACCACCATTTACAAGGCAATGTTCAGGTGTATAATGTAAGGATCCCTGTTGCAGTTGTAAGGGAAATGCCATGTACTTTGGTGTGAGGTTGGGTCAAAAATACGAGCAGTCCATTTGGCAGAGACATGCGGAGACTCACTCAATTTCCCAGACACAAATCAGAGGACTTACTAGATGTCTCATCTTTGCTTGCGGGGACGAGTATCTACTTGTGAGAAATGTGATAGCAACACAATGCTTCTGAGTTTGTGCACTGACAGCGTTTGATTGCAGGCGTATGGATGGCCTGCGTGAGGAGATGGATATTCCTTGGGAGCGCCTCGTCACAAAGGCTATGCCTATTGGACCTTTGTTCCATTCAATGCATATGCCGGAATCAACAAAGTGTGCACTCACAGTTGACTTTGCTCAGCGGAAGGCTTGCTGCCAACCATCGCGCAGCACACGGCAGAAGGCGCGATGGATGGGAAGCATTGGCGTCCTTGCCTGGGGCAAGCTATTCCATGAGGTTCAAAAGCTACATTGAACGGGCAACCTATTAGGCATGCCACTACGCGCACGACATGTGTTCAAGACTGCCTGCGAGATGAGGACAGGCCAAGGTGGATACTGCAACAGCGCATTCCCTTGAGTTGTTTCGACTGCTTGTTCAGTTTTCTCGGAAGGCAGCCTACAACATGGCTGCTGTTGCTTCCAATGTCTAGTCGTTTGTTAACTTGTCGCAGCAGAGTTGCAGCAGATCTTGCTTGCTTTGTTCTGACCACTCGGAGAAACCACCAAGCTATCACGCGCACAATGCGGCCACAATGGAGCTGCGGATTTGCATATCGACGATCAGGTTCGGTGCGTTGGAGAATCATGTGCTGTGGCCAGCTCAAGGAGGCCGAACTATGCAAAGAACATCCATCTCTCACCTCTTTCTGGGTCCTGTGGCTTTCAAAGCGGACAGCTTCCCAAGTTCCATCCCGTTCTCCTGAACATTCCGGAATCATTTGCCGACATGGTGGAAACATGTTTTGGATGTTTTTGTTTGCTATACATGTATACATATCTCTGTATACATTTACATATATACATATATGCCTATACGCATGGTGTCATGACATAGATGTATAAATACCACATTCACATATATATAGAGACATACAAAACTTTGTGTATATAGACATATTATGGTTGTACACATATGTTACCTATTAGAATGTCTAACTATATACATATACCCCCCTGCACCAATTAGGCGGTGGTCCTGCGGGGGCCTGTAGCTTCATCCTGCAGGAGCTGGTCAAGGCTTCAGCACCTCGCTTTGGGCAAACGGGAGGTGCACTGAAGATCGCGCTGCTTTTGGCGCGGGGGGCCTTGAAATGCGGCCGATGACACTAGACATTGACCCAGCCGCCAGCACCAACCCAGCGCCAACCAGCTTTCCCACAAGGGAGGGAATACATGCTTGTCCATTTAGACGTTTGCAGCTCGTGAGCTAAAACGAGTTAAAGCTATGAGGACGCCCTAGGGCAAAGCAGTCGCTCTTTCCTCAAGCCCCATGTCGTTTTGGGTTGTTGGGCCTGCAGAGGCTAAATGTGGAAGTCCATGCAATGCGAGTCTTGCAAAATGCTCACAACTATGCAAGGGGAACATCATCTTCCAACTACACAGCGCGCGCATTTGCACGGAGTGAGAGGGTAACAGACACATGGGCATGCGCATTTTTTTTAGTTGGCTCCACTTGCGACGGCCGGCTTTCATTTTGGGAACATGCGTCAGAGAAGGTCCCACTGGCCGCGTTCGGTGAAATGAAAACGTTCCAGTTCGGAGTAGTCAACCATCATCATGTTTGAGCTATTGGTGATTATGAAGCTTGGAAGGGCTCTCACAAAATGTCGGGCAGGGACGAGAAATTTTAGGCCATCGATGTGGCCTTTTTCGGGTTCCAACAGGTGACGAACCCAACAAGCAGCCTTTGGTGTGGCATGATGGGCAATCGTCACCTTTCATTTGTGTTGTGTTTTCATTCTTGGACAAGCTCTTCCAGACAACCCTTTAGCGGTTGGAAGGCGCCCCAAGACTGAGGACCTGCTGCCATTTGCTGCCTCAAACTGCTCCCAGCTGGGTGTTCACTGGCCTAGGAGAGGACCTGCTTCGATGACCTGCCGGAGTTCCTGTGCTGCAACCAGCCGCCCAGCATTGGCTGCTTCCGCGACGAAGAGCACAGGAACGAATGCTGCGAGGCATCGCCTGAGCTCATGTCCCGCGTGTCATGGAGTCCAGGGCTGAGGGTTGCGTTCCTTCTCGCCCTTTGCACATGTTCCAAAGAGTAGTGGTGACACATGTTCATACATTCACATGTCAATGTATGTCCTTGCCGGCGGCTGGTCCTTAAAAGGCGTCAACTCCTACGGTGCCGGACCGTACACTTGTATGCGCTAGATGAAGCTCGAAAGCGGACATGAAGGCATCTTGTGCTGTGCGTGCACTTTCCCCGAAGCGGCAGACCAGTTTCTCAGTGCAGGGTCAGACATTGTCCTTGAGCAGCCTTTCTTGCGGCTGCATGGTAGATATGTTTGAGGCTTGGATATGTTTGCATTCGGTTGGATCATGCTGGATCACACTGGGCAAACAACGTGAAAGAAGGCAAAGATGTGTGGAACTGGTCATGGCCCCTTTATCATACTGAAATCCTGCTTGCCAGCATTCTTGCGAGATCCGAATTATATTGCCGGAACGTGCCAATGAGGCGTTTTCTGGTCAACACTTCCACAGAATAGGCTTTGTAGCAATGAGAGGTGCCTAGTGGCAGCATTGAATTGAATGATGGCCCAGCGGCAAGTGGCTCTGTGGCAACATGTTGAAGTCTTTTCACGTGGGTTGCTGTTCTTCTGACCAATGGCAGGCGTGAAATATTCAGTTGTTCCAAACCGACTTTTTGACCTTTGGGTTGCCCTATGTTTCTCCAGATTTACAGTCATCAAAGGTTCCCAAAGGTTTACCTTTTGTTTCTGGGTCCTTCGGGCAACCGAGAACGCCTTGGACCAAGTGGCCCCTTTGAAAAAGGGACACCACTATTTGATTTGTTTCTTTATTCTCTTTTCTTTTGGGGGGGTCCCCCAACAAAAAAAGAATCACCCATGTGAAACGAGCATCCCAGTTGCACGTCTCATCAGGCGCCTTTCTCCACGAAGGTCTTGGCGCAGGATCTGCTGGTGGCCCTGGTCACCCGGGAGCAGCGCCTTGGATCTGAGTGGCTCGTCGGGTTTTTTAGGCATCGGACCACCAAAATCGCTGTGTCCTTATTGGTTTCCCTTTTGGTGTCCCTTTAAAGCCAACCAAAAGGAGGGTCAGAATAGGGGGACTTCCAAAAATTGTGGTCCCTGTTGGAGGGGTTCCCCTTTAAAGCCAACCGACAAGGGGGTTATCCTTAAAACAGACACCCACATGGGCAGAATAGGGGGACTTCCAAAAATCGAGGCTTATCTTTTGGTTTCACTTTAAAGTAAGGTGAAACGAGTACCCTCAAAAAAGACACCCAAGCACACGCCAGCATCACATGGTTGAACAATCGCTACTTTGAAGGCTGTGCCGCTTTTCGATTTCTTCCAGCCCTTTGGTTGACTGGGACGGCGCCTCCACATAGAGGGTTGGCTTCGCAATGAGTTTGGCCAGCATGAGGCCTTATCTTGTTGCATTCTGGTCTGAACATTTGGAGGGTGCTAAATACCAATCTAGGCCGATGGGAAGCGTGCACATGGCAGAGCCCCCGCAACCCCCCCCCAACCTCCCCCTTGTTAAGGTGGCAAAGCAAAGCAAACCATGAAAACACGCACCCACATGGGGCAAGACTTGCCATCGCGCGCCCTTGGCGAGGCAGGTGCTGCAGAGGAACTGCCCCTTTGCTGCTGCGCTGACGCAGCTTGTGCCATACCTTATGGAGGCCGGCTTCCGCTTGAAGCGCAGGCAAGGTAGAGAGAGGACAACGCAACTTGTTGGAGACTAGTGACATGCTAGGAGCTGTACTGTCCAAGAGCTAGAACTTGGCCCTGCAAAGAAGCAAAGCCAACAAGCAAACAGGCAAGCGTCGGCAGAGGAGTATTGTTTGAGGGCCTTGTTAAAGGTCTGTGTCATGTTAGTTTCGAAGGGTGCGATTCGTGAACCCCGGTAGGAGGACATCAAACTTTCCTCGCGGATCTTCCTGCAGCACGAGCTCATTCCTCTGGTCTGCCGGGGCAGGGAGTGCGCTTGCCAAATCGGTTGGCCCGATTTGGTGTTTGGTTTGCTTTGATTCCCTTCATGCAGCAAGTTAGCAACAACTGTCTCGCGCAGAGTTTTGCTTGGGTTCTCAGGCTGCGCTTTTTCGTTCACCTATTGGCCCTTGAATTGCAGACAGCAACATCTGCATCTAGGGAGAAGCAACTGCAAAGGATGATGCGGGCTATGCAGGCTATGTTGGAACTGGGAAACCTTGGGATACGCAAGCTGCGCGCCAAGCAGTTTCATTTGCAAAAGTTTGGGTTACTTTGTTGGAATGGACAAATCTTTGTGGTGCCTATGGAAGGGGCATTCCATGCAGAAAGGACGCACCACAATAGAGCCTAGGCCTAAGAGTCAGCGACGAAGAGCTCTCCCTGGGCAAACGCATTTCGCAATTGGACAACCGGGAGTGAGAGAGAGCTTAGTCACGTCTTGAGTCATTGAATCGGCGGCAGGTTCTTTTCGTTGCACTCGTTGAACCTTGGGTGAACCTAAACCGCGTCATCATGTTGTTCAGTGAGCTTTATTTAAAAGAACCTGATGTGCGACCAGATTGTCTCATGTTTCTCCGCTCCGCTGGGCCGGCCAGCGGAGCGGGAAGTGTCGTGCCGGGGAGGCGCGCGCCATGAGCTTCGCGGGCGCCGGCTGGTCCAACCTTCTGCAGAGCCCGTGGCCGGTGTTTGGGGTGCTGCGCCGCGTCCAGGAGAGGAGCCGCCCGGCATGCGGGAGTAGTGCAGGGGAAGAACCATACGAAACTCAAGTTTGAGGCTCGCTCACTTTCTTGGCTTCACTGCCGGAATTGCGGCAGCTTTGCAAAGACTAAGTTTGCGACACAGCAATTGACAAGAAAAAGCGCTAGTTGATGTTTGTCCCATGGCATCCACAGCACAGCTGACTCGCGTGAGACAGGCCCCACAAAGTTTCCGACATCATGACATACCCTCACATGCCAAGTCCCAATGATGCATGTGCTTAGGCCTTGGGAATATTTGACAATTAGCTTGCGCCAGCGAATTTTGACCAGAGTCAGTGTTGCTCTGCGTCCGGCATGAGAGACTAGCGCTCGGTGCTCGCAGCTGGCATCTCACCATCACCCTGCCCTGTCGACCCCAGACCCGGCTGAGGACTGAAGGTTGCAACATCAGACCAATACTACCAGACATTGGAGAAGTCCAGCGCATCTCCAGTGCTGGCTGCTTGGCTGCCAGCTGAAGGGCATTTTAGGGCGCTGGTTTCCAGCAACACAGCTTGCTGTCGGAGAATCGGCTGGCCACGTGTACCTTTCATGCCTTTGGGCCTTGATGAGTTCTGAGAAGCTCAAAACCGTGGTTGCTTTAGCACACCTTAGTGGCCCTTGGGACTGCTTGAGTGGTCAGCCACAAGGTGGCCTGAGTCTTGAAGGGCTTTGCCCATACTAATTTCCAAGTTGTTCCTATTTGCCGATCGGGCATAACAGCCAAGCTGCTTCCTGCCATACTTGTGCCCGCCCAAGCAAGAGATGCAGATTCTATGTGTCAAGGCCCTGGCGCAGCTGAATAGCTCCCAGTGCATCACGCGGGTCACGGCGCGCCTGCACTTGGCGCTGGCCGCTGAGAAGGGCCCGCCCTTCGAAGCCTCGCCAGCCGCCCCTCGACTCGACTGGCTGGGAAATGAAAGCGGGCGGTCCAAGCGATGTGTTGTTTCCCCAAGGGATGATAGGGAACCTCCCTCCAATGAAGCTGACAGGAGGGTTTATCTTCTTTTAATGGGTCGCCAACGCGTGAGAACCTTGACACACTTCTCAACACAACCCTGACATGGCAAATCGGCAAGTCAACTTTCTTCCCAGTGTTGCGTGCTTGGCAAGGCCCAGCTCATCGATGAGGCAGAGCTGCAGGCAGTTCGGTGCGAGCTGAAACTGCTGCCGCGGCTGAGGTTGCGCCCCTGCCAAACAATTGGCAAGTTTTGGGTGGCAGTTGGTAATTTTGATTTTCCTGTGCTTTGGCGATTGCACACATCATATACAAGAGCAGTGCGTCGATTGGCACCTTGCATTTGATGAGCGTTGCAAGCTCAGCAAGAGCCGACCATGCTGCTCCACGAGGCTTTTGACGAGCCCGGCCCCCGTTATGATGCTCTTACACCAGCTGTGGCAGCAAATGCGCAGCCGAGGCGGGGGAAAAGGGCGATTGAGGCCATGCGGATTTTGTGTTACAGGTTTCGGCCTTTGTCCATGCTCAAACTGGCTCACGCATTCAATCCCCCGCCCCCACTCCAAAAAGAATCTGGATCAGGTGTAGGTCCCCCATCACAGCATCGCAAAGGAGTGGTGCAAGGCTTCATGGCATCTAAAGCCAGCTGGATCAATGAGCTCTTGTTACGTCTTGTTATTGTGTGTGTAAGATCTCAATTTGCGCTGCGTAGCATACATTCGAATCGCCATTTAGGCACAAGCGTTCAATTTGTTCTGGGTGAAAACGTGCGGACCATGGGGGGCAGGAATCCCAGGACGGGCAACCTGAAGAGTACGGCGAGCCAGTCAAGCTGGCGCAGGAAACGATACCACGAATAAGTATTATACAGCACAATCCGGGAGATTCGGAGCACCAGTCCCACACTTGTGGACCTAGATAGCGGCTCGTCCACTTGGTCTTCGATACCCAGGAAGGTGGGCGATGTCATGGAAGAGCCGATTCCACGGAGGCCCAGGGGACGAGCGACCAGATGGCCAGGAGCCGAGGCGGCCTTCTTCAAGGTCCAGCGAGGAGAACACCCGACATGCTCTTCACCGGCCACGGTTCGCGGAGCGGAGCATCGTGCCCCGAACAGACAATCAGCTCGCAGTTGGCCTCAGAATGAGCCCATGTTGCCGGAGGAGCAGGGACCCGAGCTGCAGTCTGCGCCCAGGACATGCAACGCCGGAATACCAGGAGAAAGAGTTGAGCCGGCTTGGGGCCGCTTTCGATCTTAGAGACTTCCAACCAGTGTGAATATCTCGATGTGCGCTGCGTAACACACATGCAAGTCGCCGAGTGAAGCGCCGTTCCATCTTTGTGGGGTGAAGACATGGAACGGCTGAGCTCTTGATCAACTTGGATCTGCGGGCTTGCACTATAGACTTATCACGGGTCTTGACTGTGTCAATGATTTTCACGTGCTTGGTGACAAGCTGATACTTCCGGTCAAACTTGCGTTGGTCGTAATCCTGATTACGTGTTTTGGCGTGGCTTGGCGCCACGGTGCCGAGCCCACTTTTTCTTTGGCGGGTTTCTCCGTTTGCAGCAGGTTTCTGGAAATAAAAAGCCAGGATAAGGTCTAGGATAAGGTCTGATCCCATGGCCCCTCAGCGAGGAAACCTCGCAGAAACCTCTCGCGTTGTCGTTTGGGCTTTTTGTGAGCCGCTGCCCTCACTCCAGGCTGGCGCCATCTCACTGACCAAGCGCAGAACCGCAAGCCCACGTCCCTGACGATGAATGCGTGTCTTTGCCACTCGCCCAAAGTAAGTCTGAGGCATGGCGACAGCACTGAGTGAGAGCGAGGACGAGCTGTAGAGAGAGAGACATTTAGTCGTTTAGTGAATGGTTTTGGCTCGAAATGCCACGAACAGACAGGGCTCGCTATGATGTTGCATTTTGGCCTTGCATTTGTGGCAAAGCATTTGTGTTTGCGTGGGTGACCTGCCTGGAGAGATTGGTCAACAAAACATGACAGCTCTGATTTGAGTTGTTTTTTGCTTAGGTCAGCCTTCCTGGGAAGTGGCCTTGTCCAACGGCAGCTACTCGACAGTTCTCAGTGTGCCTATGTCCCGCTGGTGCCACAAGTTGGGCAACTTGCGCAACAGTAATTTGTTTTGATATTTAAAAAAAAAAAATGTCAACCCATGCTATTGCCGCGTTCTCGTTTTCCCAGATGCAGTCACGCGGCCGTCCGAAGCGCATTGCTCCGAAGCCCTCACCCTGCCAAGGTTATACGCCTGGGTCTCAGCATGAGCCGCGGTAGCCCTTCGGACCCTGGCTGCGGAAGGCTTGTTTTCCCAACGGTGCAACCCAACGATGTGCTATTCCCCAATCAATGCGAGAAGCGTTTTGTGGCATCGGTTTGCAGCGAACACATTGTGAGAGGATACCCTTGTCAAAGGCAACCCGATTTGGAGAAGGGGCTCAGAAATCGAACAAACCGATCCTTTCCTTAGCGTCTGACTTCAGGTGCAGCGCTGAGACTTGGCAAGCAATGTGCTTGCACAAAGTCTCCTTTGCCACACTTGTTTCAGCACCAACTATTGCTCTCTCTGACAATTTATTGGAGCTGTTTGGATGTTGTACAGCAAAAATGTGACATTTGAGGAAGCTGAGGGGGAACCATGGAAGTATGCTTTTTCAGGGGGCCTCACTACTTGCTTCTCTCACCCAGACATTCTGAGGAGGACTTTGGCTGCTGCGATCCCTACGGCACGAAGGATTTCTTTTGCCCCACTCAACCAGGCTGCTATCAGGAGGGGTGCGTGTTGCGGCCTGCTTGCGGAAAATAACGGGGGCCAGCCAAGCAAAGTGAAAATTAAGCTCCCTGGCAAAGCATCGCCTGCGAAATGAGGAATGCACTTCACATATGGCCATTGGTCAAAGTGCCCCCGCACCCCAGTGAACATCCCAACCCCCACTAAAATAGGTTCTAAAATGGGTGGTGCACCTACCCCAAAATGGGCTCCCAGTGGTTTTGACCCACAGCCACATGGTTCGGCCTTCGCCAGTCCCATGACGTTTGCTTCCCCCGGAAGCACAAGATTGGCGGCCCAGGCCGGCTGGCAGGGATTGGTGAGGTCGTCAGCGAAGTCCCAATAACTGCTGCAGCCGGGTTGCGTGCCCCGTTTCTTTCACACATGCTGCCAAAGAGTTCTGGGCAGTGTCATGTAGATGGCAAGTGGCTTTCTGCGGGGGCATGCCTAGTTTCAACTTGCAACTGCGGTTGTAGAAGGTGAAGGCCGATTGTAAATTGCCAGTTCTGGCCGGCTCAAAGCCTTCTATTACTGAAAGCGCGTCAGTCCGACGAAACCATGGCTTGCAAGATATCTATTTGACAACGGCCATGGGGTACTGCCTGAAAACCGCTCCAGGCGCATGGGGTCCATCCCTTGGCTTTTCGGCCTTCGGTTACGCGAGGTGTGGGGCTGCTGGCGGAGGTGGAGAAAGACTTCTTGCGAATGCAAAGCGCCGGGGGCCTGAGACATGGGAGAGGGCGGCTTTTGGGAGGGGGGGATAGCGGGGGATAGGGGGGATTGGGGGGAGAGCCAGGCCATGCCCTTGCCAGAAAGTGTGGCCTAACCCAGGGGCAAGGTTGCAACAGGTGCAAAATGGCCATCGCCACAACCGAGGCAGAGGCAGGTATCCGTTGATGCGATAGTTTGGTTGTCAAGAGGGGGAGCCGGAGAAGTCAGCAAAAAGATGAAAGTATGAGCCGTTCAACTCGAGATGCAGCAGGTGCTTCAATTGTTCACACGCGCACGTATATCCATGCGTTGTGAATCTATATTGTATAACTTATTCTCACACATGTGCATTTCCCGCCGCAAACTCAACAGGGTTCCAGAGGCTGAACATACGTACTACAACTCGGCCCGATGTACTGCCGGAACCACAGTGAAGGTCTGGTTCGGAGCCTTTGCCACTGAGGATGGCCGCGTCGATGCCAAGTGCCGCCAGATCGCTGCGGCAGCTGGCGCCCGACCCGCCAGCAAGGCACGCAGGAAGATTTGCAGCTTCGTTCCTGGCCTTTTTCTAGATACATGGACCGTGTTGAGTTGTTTTTTTTGTCGGGCAAGAAGTTGACATCATGACAATGGAAATTCTGCTGTCCGCTGTCAGAGATACTGCGGGGACTCTTTTGGTTGCAGAAGGGCCCGCCATGGGGCGTGCGTTTGCGAAATACCTGAAAAAACTCAGAACAACACGCACCAGTACACCATTCCCATGTACTCTGGAAAAGGACATGTGACTCAAACCTCGAGAAAACCAACAAACACACAAAAACCTCGAGAAAACCTAAAAAAGCAAAACAGAAACCAAAAACCGATCCCCTGATGGAAATGACCAGTACCTCCAAGGTTTTGTTCGGGGGATTGTGTGTTTTTCTTTCTTCTGTTTCTCGAGGGTTTTGCGCTTCCCGCACTGTCCCCTCAGTGTTTTCCGAGTATTTCTTTCGTGTTCTCTCAGTGTTCCATTATATAGCATTCCCTTACTATTCCCTGAGAATTCCCTGAAGAGTCATCATTGTTTCTTTAATACTCCCCAAATCTTGCCATAGTCCTTTAATATTTTTTTGCCTCTAGTGTTCTCTCAGCACTCCCCAGTATTCCTTTAATATTCCTCAATATTCCCCTAGTATGTTCCTAATATTCAAAATACGTCCCTAGTATTCCCTTAATATTCCCTAGCATTCCCCTTAGTATTCTCCATTCCTTGAGCATTATCTAACCCCTAGTAGTTGTATTCTCCTAGTATTCCCCTAATATTCTTAGTATTTTCCTGGAATACCCCTAACATTCTCCCAATATTCCCCGAGTAACCCCGGCATTCCTTAGTATTTGCTCAGTTTATTTGTAGTATTCTCTCCCAGTATTCCCCTAGTACTAGGGGCACACCCAGAAAATACCAAGGAATACTGAACAATATTGGGAGAATACATTTCTAGGGGTACGGCAAAGGGAATGCTAAAGAAATACTATTAGGGGAATACTAGGGGTATACAACTCTAGGGGTAAACATAAGTCTAAAGGAATAGGGGCCTATTCGAGGAATAGGAAGGGCAGTGCTAGGGGAATATTAAGGGAACACTAGTGAATACTATGAAAATGCTAGGAGAATACAGACTACTTAAGGAATGTTAAGGGAATCTCGGAAAACACGGAGGAAATACTAGAGGGTACACCAAGAAAATACTAGAGGAATAGTAGGGAATACTGAGGGGAATACAGGGGGTCTGCTAGGGAATTACCAAGAAGCTGCTAAGGGGAAGATTGAAGGAATATTGGGGAACACTTGAACACTGAGAGAAGATTAGGGGTATACCAAGAAAACACAAAAGGAGTTAGGGGAATATTAGGAGAATACAGAGAAGATTATGAGGCAATATGCGTGGAATATTCGGGGAGTACTAGGGAAGCACAAAGGATGAATACTCGAAAAACAAAAGGGGAGTACTGAAAAAATACTTGGGAACAGTTACTAGGGGAACACTGAGGAGATACTAGAGGGTATAACAAGAGAGAACTAAAGGAACCAAGGGCATGATAGAGGACTACTGGGGGATCACAGATTACCAGGATAATGCTAGTGAACTACCAAGAAAATTATTAGGGAACATTAGGGGAATACTGAGCGAATTTGCTAAGAAAAAGCAAAGGCACACTGGGGTAATGCTAGGACAGAATTCTTAGGAGGGTGCTAATTAGGGGAATACTGGGGGAATGCTGAGGATCTTTGAGGGGGATACTAAGGGAATAGCAAGGGAATCCTTGGAGAACACTGATTGCCAGAAAGCAGGGGAGAGGAAAGATGCCTGCAGTGGGTGGCCTTCTCCAAAAATCACCAAAGACCGCATGTGCGAGAAAGGTGCATCCACATATGCCAAGGTGTAAAAAATGCTGATTTCAAAAACACAGGCCCCATGGCGGCCCGCTCTCTTTGGCGCATCGGTTCACGACTCGTGTGTGCCTGCGACAGCATTGGGTTCACATCGGCAGCAACCTCCTCAACTTCTCAGCTGTTAACATGCTGCCCCGCTTTTGGCGTGGCAAAGCCATACAAGTGTTGCCTCAGGGAGATGCAGAGATGCAGCGCGGGATATCCCAGGTGAAGCAACACTATTACGGTGGCGATTTCAGGGCCTCCAATGATCCCTCTCCGAAGAAAAAACGCGGGCCGTCACTTAAGGCGATTCCAGCCATTCCAAACATCGGCCCTGTCCAACGACACCAGCAATATCTACACTAAGCCGCAACCAAGCTAAAACCCAGAACCAACCCTAAACTGGCCCCCAAAACAGCCCTCCACGAACCTCAAGATAACCCCTACCACTCCCCGACCCTGAACCAACATCAATCCAATCCTACACCAGCCCTGAACCGCTTTTATGGCTTGCCCAGCGCTTTCTTTTGTTACTAGTGGTTGATTTGTCTCCATGGAGGTGTTGGACGTCGGCGCGGGCACTGCGCCTTGCAAGCCTGTCATGGAGAAGGCGGGCTTGGCCTACACCAGCCAGGCGGGGATGTTTGTTTGCCGTGAAGCGGAGACATTAGAAAGCAAAGGACCATGAAAGTTGAATGCCACCCCACACGTTCCCCTTACAGGGAGTTGACCATGACTGTGGTTTGCAGTTTGGATGCATGGTGGTTAGCTCTGAGTGAGTCGCCTTTAGCTCCCCTGCGGGTCGGCTTACTGAGCGCGATGGGACAGATAGCAAGCACTTGGCCTGGACTCGGAGGACGAGAAGAGATGCGCATGCGCTTTAGATTCACTTGCTGGTTCTAGCCAGTCAGGCGCAGTACGGCATGGCTCGCTCCTACTGCAGCCACACTATTTTGCACTGGGCCTTTGGGGTGTTTGACTTTGCGCAACGCTTGCACCAAGCAATCCAAGAACTCAACTCATCCGGACCGGAAGGTGTTCAGCTACTTTTGGCCATGGACTCGCTGTTGCGAGACACACCTTGTTCTGTCGGTGAGCTCAACCACACAGCTTCCCTTCACCTGGTTTTTAGCGGGCACAGCAGCGTGTCCTTCATGTGCAGCTTGGGTCCCAACTGGTACCAACCGACCCGACCACGCCTTCACAATTCACTTCAAAGAAAAAGCGATGGCCTCGTGTGGCGCCCACTTTTCAATACAGCGCGCTGACTTGTGATACCCCAAATCGTGCAGGACGCCATGGCGTACACGGGCACGGAGGGCATCGCGGGATCCGTGTTCCTGCAACTCAGCTGGCCGGTTGTTTTGTTTTTTAGCGCGCGCGCGCTCGCGTGTGTGTGTGTGTGTGTGTGTGTGTGTGTGTGTGTGTGTGTGTGTGTGTGTGTGTGTGTGTGTGTGTGTGTGTGTGTGTGTGTGTGTGTGTTTGTGTGTGTGTGTGTGTGTGTGTGTGTGTGTGTGTGTGTGTGTGTGTGTGTGTGTGTTGTGTGTTTGCGTGTTTTTGCGTGTTTGCGGGTTTGCGGGTTTGAGGGTTTGCGGGTTTGCGGGTTTGCGGTTTGCGGGTTTGCGGGTTTTTTGCGGGTTTGCGGGTTTGCGGGTTTGCGGGTTTGCGGGTTTGCGGGTTTGCGGGTTTGCGCGGTTTGCGGGTTTGCGGGTTTGCGCGGTTTGCGGGTTTGCGGGTTTGCGGGTTTGCGGGTTTGCGGGTTTGCGGGTTTGCGGGTTTGCGGGTTTGCGGGTTTGCGGGTTTGCGGGTTTGCGGGTTTGCGGGTTTGCGGGTTTGCGGGTTTGCGGGTTTGCGGGTTTGCGGGTTTGCGGGTTTGCGGGTTTGCGGGTTTGCGGGTTTGCGGGTTTGCGCGTGTTTGCGTGTTTGCGTGTTTGCGTGTTTGCGTGTTTGCGTGTTTGCGTGTTTGCGTGTTTGCGTGTTTGCGTGTTTGCGTGTTTGCGTGTTTGCGTGTTTGCGTGTTTGCGTGTTTGCGTGTTTGCGTGTTTGCGTGTTTGCGTGTTTGCGTGTTTGCGTGTTTGCGTGTTTGCGTGTTTGCGTGTTTGCGTGTTTGCGTGTTTTGTGCGTGTTTGCGTGTTTGCGTGTTTGCGTGTTTGCGTGTTTGCGTGTTTGCGTGTTTGCGTGTTTGCGTGTTTGCGTGTTTGCGTGTTTGCGTGTTTGCGTGTTTGCGTGTTTGCGTGTTTGCGTGTTTGCGTGTTTGCGTGTTTGCGTGTTTGCGTGTTTGCGTGTTTGCGTGTTTGCGTGTTTGCGTGTTTGCGTGTTTGCGTGTTTGTGTGCGTGGTTGTGTGGTTGCGTGTGTTTGTGTGTGTGTGCGTGTTTGTGTGTTTGTGTGTTTGCGTGTTTGTGTTTGTGTGTTTGTGTGTTTGTGTGTTTGTGTGTTTGTGTGTTTGTGTGTTTGTGTGTTTGTGTGTTTGTGTGTTTGTGTGTTTGTGTGTTTGTGTGTTTGTGTTTGTGTGTTTGTGTGTTTGTGTGTTTGTGTGTTTGTGTGTTTGTGTGTTTGTGTGTTTGTGTGTTTGTGTGTTTGTGTGTTTGTGTGTTTGTGTGTTTGTGTGTTTGTGTGTTTGTGTGTTTGTGTGTTTGTGTGTTTGTGTGTTTGTGTGTTTGTGTGTTTGTGTGTTTGTGTGTTTGTGTGTTTGTGTGTTTGTGTGTTTGTGTGTTTGTGTGTTTGTGTGTTTGTGTGTTTGTGTGTTTGTGTGTTTTGTGTGTTTGTGGTTTGTGGTTGGTGGTTGGTGGTTGGTGGTTGGTGGTTGGTGGTTGGTGGTTGTGTTTGTGTTTGTGTTTGTGGTTGTGGTTGTGTTTGTGTTTGTGTGTGTGTGTGTTTGTGTGTGTGTGTGTGTGTTTGTGTGTGTGTTTGTGTGTGTGTGTGTGTGTTTGTGTGTGTGTGTGTGTTTGTGTGTGTGCATTTGTGTGTGTATTTGTGTGTGTGTGTGTTTGTGTGTGTGTGTTTGTGTGTGTTTGTGTGTGTTTGTATGTGTGTGTTTGTGTCTGTGTGTGTGTGTTTGTGCCTGTGTCTCTGAAAGCCTCAGGCACGGCTATGCTGATATCGACATCGTCTCCGACATCATCGCCATCCCCTTGCCGAGCGGGTCATTCGACGTTGTGATTTGCACAGATGTTCTGGAGCATGTGGTGCATCCACAAGAGGCCGTTCAGGAGATCGGACGTCTTCTGGCTCCTGGCGGCGTCGCGTTCTTGCAAGTTCCTTTCGGAGGAGCATAAACAACAGCTGGGCTGGGTCTGTATTTTTTTTGAGGGATGCAAGTTTTGTGTGGATTTAAAAGGGAAACCAAAAGGACTTCCCTGAAAGAAGACGCACCCAGCTGCTTGTAGCTGAGGCGAAGTTTTTCACAGTCGATTCGCCCTGAAGGACGTGCGAATGTGTGCTAGCTCAAAGCCCCGCTGTGCAGGAGCTTTGCACAACCTTCCGCACCACTACTATGCGGGATTCACTCATCGCTGGCCTCTTGGCCTAAATCCGTGTGGAGACGTAGTCCTAACATATCCTGGGTTTGTTGCTGTTTGGACGTGCGGGAGACTGAGCCTGCAGGCCGGGGATGCTTGCGTGTGTGGCAGTCCATACGCTGTGCGCATGTTGTGACTAGGAGTTTGTGCGTTCGAGCCTGCGAATGTGTATCAGTGGGATTCCACCAGATGGCGCAGGACAACCAACGCCCATGTGCCATGCAAACCTGCACCCGTGCGTTCCGTGCGTTCCGTGCAAGCCAAGCATCAGACAAAGGTTGGCGGCGTGATGCAGGCTTGCCTGTTGTTGAATGGGGCACGGCTCCAGCAACAGAAGGCCTTATCAAATGTGCAGCGTTGCCAGACTGCTGGATTTTGCAGACATTCCAACTTGTATAGATTAATCAAGTTGTTGATTCCTGTTTTCATCCAAGGTTTGAAAACATCTCAGCCAGCGCTGGCTTAAAAGTTGCCTGGGGCTACCACTTCGAGACGCTGGCCAAGCGAATCCAGCGGTCCCTGCAGTCCGAAGAATGCTTGCAACAAAGCTGCAATTGGAAAGTCGATCGATCTGGACGCTGTCAACCCTTCACATGACCCGAATCAAGACTGTCGGGCTTGTGCACTTCCATGCTGTCGATTGAAGCTTTTGAACCTTGATTTCCTTGTGATGCCCAGTTTGAAGGTCGGAACAGCAGTGATGTTTAGTTTTTGCCCAGCTGATGTCAAACAATGTCAAACACGTTTCCTTCAGCTGTTCACTCCAAAGCGTGTTGTTCTCCCACGCACGCCGCATGCCGAGTTGGGTCGCTTAACATCCCTTTGCTCAGCCCGCGACTTGGAGGGGCTCGACTGTTCAGCTCCATGTGGAACTAAGGGCCTCCACCCAACCAAATGTAAGGCGTCAAACGGAAACCGAAAAAAACAACCAAAGGTCACAAGTAGACCCCCCGGTAAAAGCTGCTTAATTAGTGGTGGCTTAAAATTGGTTTAGCGTGCCTGTGAACTGGCCGAGTACTGGCTTTGCATTGATTTAGATTGATTTAGTTTTAGTTCAATATCCGTGGGCTGGCCCAGGGATTACCTTATTTTGCTTACCCTCAAACATTCCCTTTCCGGCTTCTCTTTATCACCCTTGAACATTTGCTGAGGAAGCTGTTTGAGCAACAGATGCCATGAATAATTTGGCTGTGTGAGACCTCAGTCGCTCGGGATTGACTTAGTATTGGTTTACCAGTCGTAGTTAGTATTGGTTTAGCATTGGTTAGCATTGCTTATTATTAGTTAAGGGTTTAGCTATGCTCGAGTACTGGCAGGGATGGGAATCATGTTGTTTCCCCACCCCCGGGGGAAAGAAACAATCATTGTTTGTGTTCGGGAGGGCATCATGTGAAGCCTTTGTTGCATAAGCTACCACCTTATTAATTGCTATCCGACAATATTTGACGGAGTTTGAATTATCTATGTGACCTCAGCCAACCTGGCCGCGGGAATAAGGAGTGGGCTGTTTGGAGCCTCGTCAGCGTCAGCTTGGAAGCACCACGCACCTTGGCCAGCAGAAGGGGGCACATGCCAGGCTGCACTTAGTGCAGTGAAACCAGCAAACGCACGGATTTCCCCACACGGCAAGATTGCAAAGGGTTTCAAGAGAAGGCAGGGGAGCCAAAATGACGGCAGGTGATCAACGATTTGCCTGCCGTGCTGGATCACCTACGGGCATGCCAGAGCAACCCGGAAGGCCGGCATGGGAGGGTAGGTGGGACGCACATACGAAGCCAACTCAGTCTTGTGGTCAAGGGCCTGCTTCATTGTGCCAGCATTGCTAAGGGGCAGCTGTGAACAGTTGCTCTATTGATGAAAGGGTTGACTACTTCAAGGCCAAGATTCTGCCAATATGTTCATGATCCCGACACCCCCGCAAGGCGAAGGGATGAGATTCCCCAGTGCCAGCCTAGCGTCATGCGATAATGTGTGCGCTCCAGGAGCTGTGGATCAAGCCTTCCCATCCGGCATCCGAGCCATGCTAATGAAGCCAAAAAGCCCTTCAAGCGCGCGGGACAAAAACATAGGCGCATGGCCACCTGTGGGCATTGGCTGAGCGTTTGAGGGAACTTAGATGATGTCTTCGATTCCCCAAGCCACCGCTCAATTTGCAAAGGGGCAAAAACGTTCTGGATTTACATGTGGTCTTCCTTGCTCCTGGATTTAGATGCGGATCTTTGGATTGAGATGTAGCAGCCTCATCTTGCAGTTTTTAAAGAGGGAGGGGCAGGCCAGGACCTTTCAGGGTATTGTCTTGGTTCAAACCTCCTGCCCATCCAATTTTGCTTGTTCTGAGCAAGGATTTTGCGAAAGCACAAGATTCTTGTAAGACTATGTGGAAGGCTTGCTTGCTCTCATAACCCTATCAAACAGGCAAGGGAGGAAACGATACTGCGGCATTTCAGCGGATAAGATCCATACATGTTTGATAATTTGCTTCTCATGGCAGCATTTTGACGATCATTTGACTGCAATTGCAGCGATTTCAGGCGGGCCCCAGCCAAGCAGCCTCGTTCATGTTATATGTCAGAATTTGTGCTTGGGAAGGGCTGCCGCTGCCATTTCGCGATTTGAACAACTCAAAGTCATGACTGCTCGACAGGACAGGTGGCACCAAGGAGATACTCACTGCCAAAGGCAAACGTGTGGCCATTACCAGGTAGGACATGGGCCCAGCAAGTCGCACGACCAACGCTCACTCGCTTGATTTTTACCGCCATGCCTCGTGCGCGTCGTGCGCTTGCCGCAGCGTTTGCCGCTCTCGGGGCGCTGTGCTTCACGGCAGCGCCTGAGCCACGAGAGACTTGGCACGGATGTGACGGAACCTGAAGTGAGACAGGTGCGTCGGTCCGTCGCGCGCAGAAAACTGCCGAAATGGACAATGGCAAGCTGTCAAGCTGTCAAGCGGCAGGCAATGTGTAACATAATTTGACGGGGCAATGTAGGCTTACGCAAGAGCAGGCGTAAAGTCGAAGATATGAAAACAGTCGACCCCGAGCTGCTCCGGAGGTTGGGGCACTTCATTGCCACGCGCCAGCACATGGCTGGTGTATGTGCTACGCATTCTGTCCTGCTTTGTGGTCATCCTTGGGAGTTAGAATGGGAAAGCCTGTTGCAACAGCCGTTTCCACCACAGAGACACAGGGGTCCAGAGCTGGTACGTGCCGTTTGTGGCGGCAGCTGAAGCTATTGCTCCTCACCCAGACTGTCCTGCACGATGATCTTGTGCTTGAACTAAGTAGGTCATGTGATTATGCATTTCTGCTATCACACAACCATTACCTGCCAGAATGTCCCTGGAGATTTACGGCTTTTACCACTTGGCCTTGGCCAGGCTCCATACGAGTCAGGGTTGGTTCTCCTTTTATAGTCAAAGATTCCTTCAGTTTGGGGCATTCCCATTTAGCAGGCCCTCCCAACTCAAAAATCGGAAAAAGTCCTTTCGAACCGGCTCCAAAAGTACTTCAGGTATGTTGGGTTGTTTAAAGTTGTTTCTGTGTATCTCAGATGTGTGCCAAGTCTTGTTCATGAGTGGGTCCCCTCCCCCTCCCAGGAACGCTCCGTGCGGCGCCGAGCGGTCGCAGCGCAGGAACCGGATGTACGCGTGTTTTGTCAAGTGCAATCAGAGCCGCTTGAAGCTTGTGTTGCCCAGGGAAGCTAGTCACACACAAGTGTTAGAAGGCTGATCCGCTTGAAACAGTAATTACATGTTTGGCCACAACACGGGCACAGGCTCGTACTCAAAACTCCCGACCCCCTCAATGTCCATGATCGTCATTCGTTCGGGCTCCAGTTCGCTCCTGGGCACCGGTGTTCCAGTGTTTACGCCTTCATCCCCGCTCTGCAAGAAGCAGTCCATGCGCATCAGCTGGCACATCAGTCGATGCAATGCATTGTTTGGCAAATGTGCAAAAGCTACATAGGTTGGCCAACACCAGGGCTGCAAGCATTGATGCAACATAATGCTGCAGTATGGAGGTCTTAGTTGAACAGCCAAGCATGTTGCACCGAACAATCAGTCAACAAAGTTGGCTCCACGTTGGTGAATGATGACGCCATTGTCACTACTCCCATGTGGCAACACTGCCATTTCCATGGTTCCATGACCCCTCGACAGGATACTTTGGAAGCAGTGGTGGATTTCGCCGGAAACGGCCCGGCGCCCAAGCAAAGCGAGTCATGGAGTCTTTGAGGCCCGTTGATTGCGCAATGCGTTGTTGGCGAATGGGTGGAGTTGCCGGTGACTACAAAATCCCAACAAATCAGACCAAATCACAATCCTCGTTCAGAATCCTTTCTTGTTTGCGTGTCGCGTTCGAGTGGGCGTGGGCGCGGGCGCGGGTGTGTGTGTGTGTGTGTGTGTGTGTCTGTGTTTGTGTGTGTGTGTGTCTTTGTGTGTGTGTGTGTGTGTCTGAGTGTGTCTGTGTGTGTGTGTCTCTGTGTGTGTCTGTGTGTGTGTGTGTGTGTCTGTGTGTGTGTGTGTGTGTGTGTGTCTGTGTGTGTGTGTCTGTGTGTCTGTGTGTGTTTGTGTGTGTGTGTGTCTGTGTGTGTGTTTGTGTGTGTCTGTGTGTGTGTGTCTGTGTGTGTGTGTGTGTTTGTGTGTGTGTGCGTCTGTGCGCGCGCGTCTGTGTGTGTGTCTCTCTGGGTGTGTGTGTCTGTGTGTGTGTGTTTGTGTCTGTGTGTGTTTGTGTCTGTGTCTGTGCTGTGTGTCTGTGTTTGTGTGTCTGTGTCTGTGTGTCTGTGTGTCTGTGTGTCTGTGTGTCTGTGTGTCTGTGTCTGTGTGTCTGTGTCTGCGTGTGTGCTGTGCCTGTGTGTGTGTGTGTGCGCGTTTGTGTGTGTGTGTGTGTCTGTGTGTGTGTGTCTCTGTGTGTGTGTGTCTCTGTGTGTGTCTGTGTCTGCGTCTGTGTCTGTGTGTGTGTGTCTGTGTGTTTGTGTCTGTGTGTGTGTGTGTCCGTGTGTGTGTGCTGTGCCTGTGTGTCTGTGTCTGTGTATGTGTGTCTGTGTGTGTGTCTGTGTATGTGTGTCTGTGTGTGTGTGTCTCTGTGTGTGTGTGTCTCTGTGTGTCTCTGTGTGTCTCTGTGTGTCTCTGTGTGTCTCTGTGTGTCTCTGTGTATCTCTGTGTGTCTCTGTCTCTGTGTCTCTGTGGCTCTGTGTCTCTGTGTCTCTGTGTCTCTGTGTGTGTGTGTGTTTGTGTGTGTGTGTCTTTCCTTTTTTCTTGCTTTCATTATTTCATCATTTATTTATTTATTCTTCCCTTTGTTAAATTGTTTGATTGTTTGTTGGTTTGCTTGTGTGCTTGGTCGTGCGTGCGTGGCTGCGTGGCTGCGTGGCTGCCTGTGTGGGTGGGTGGGAGGGCGGGTGTGTGTGTGTGTGTGTGTGTGTGTTTGGGTGTTTTTGTTTTTGTGTGCTTGTTGTGTGTGTGATTTGTGTGTTGTGTGTGTGTTGTGTGAGCGTGCAGGCATGCGGATGCATTTGCGTTTGCCAGCGTGATTGCGTGTGAGTGCGTGCGTGCGCGCTCGGGTGTGTAACTGGACGCGTGCTTGGACATGTTTGGTGGAGACATGAATGCAGGAGTGAATGTTCTTGCGGCAGCCAGACCGCAGAATTTGTTCAGATCATTTAATTTGGAGAAGCTGCTTTTGGCCTGTTCTGGATGTGGTGCAACACTCCCATCAGCGTCCATGCATTTGGGATCCAGTTTGTCAAGAATTGCGGACCGGCTACACTGGTCTGATTTTGGCTTTGTGCTGCTCAGTGTTGATGCTTCTAGCTGGCTAGCTTCCTTCCGTCCTTGCTTCCTGCTTCGTTGCTTGCTTCCTTCTTTAGCGAGCTAGGCTATGCCGGGTATGCCATTCGGTCGATGTACGAAATCCTGCACCACTTTGTCACCATGAGAAGCCATTGTTGCTTGGCATTTACAGGGGACTCATCAGAAACCAGACCCTTTCTTAGGTGCTGCGCAACCATCCACCGTTGTGTTCGTTGCGTTGTTCGGCGGTGCAGGCACCGCCTTTGTGCTGGACGTGCTGCCCTCCAGCTTCCCAGCATCGCCTGCACGGAAGTTGGAAGTTCCCACCTTCAGCCCTGGCCTTTTGACGCAGAGAGAGTCGTTTCGACGGCAAGTTCGTCTAGGTTGAGCCTCAAAAAGGGAAATACTTGGCATGCATAGCAGTTTGGTTGGAAAGTGTTTTCCGGTGTTTCCTTAGTTTCAGCGAGGACCTGGTCAACTCAACAAGTCAAGAAGAGGATATGCATGCATGAATCAGGAATCAGCGGTGAGGAAACATTGGATTCGTTGCAACCCGGCAATGGATCAAACGGCAACGGCCGCTTGCTCATGGAGATCCTCATTTGCAAGATTTCCTGAATCTGGGGGCTGGGCAGGTGCCACAGTGAATTAACTGCATGGTGAGGTTAATTGGACACATGTCTTACCAAACGCAGAAACACACCTGGTTGCAAAAGAAATCATGCTGCCGCGTGCTTGGTCGCGGTCATGGATGAGGGGGCGAAATCTGCTTCCATCGTTCGGCACTGCAGACTCAGATGTTTCATGCTACTGGTCAGGGCCTTGCTTTTGTTGTTTGTGGCTTCGCGGCTGAGCAATGAGAGGAGAGCAAAGAAAATCATTGCAAGGCTTTGTGGTGGACGAAGTCATCGGCGCTGAAGTTGCTTGGTCCTGTTGCACTTAGCTCCGGACCCCAATGTTTCATTGTATCGAGGTCGAAGCGTAGATGGGTGTGTGTTTTTCTTAGGAACCCCCCAAAAAATTGTGGTATTTCTGCTGGCTTGCCTTTCAAATCTACAAAAGAGGTACCCTCCAAAGAAGACACACCCAAGTGGCAGACCAATGTTTGCACTCTGTTTGGCCGCGTCCTAGATTGGCCTTTTCGCAGCTTGCTGATTACTTTGCGTAGATGTGCATGCGCAGGTTATGTACTTGAGCTCCACCATGCCAGGGTGGTGCTTCACATCCTGACAAAATGCTGTAGCTGGGCAGTCTATGTCAGAACATTCAGGCGTTGTTTCTTGTTTTGGGCCGCGCGCTGCGCGCCCCTGAGCTGGACACCATGCATCAAGCCCGACCCGCTCTGAGAAGCCAGTCGGTTTCATCGATGCCGTGAGTCGTAAGGACTGCCAACGCGTCATTCAGATCTGCGAGGACATTGGCTTCCGAACCAGGTGGAGCCAGGCCCCTGCCAAGCAATGCTTTGAAAGAAGCCTCCATGCTAGAACGGGGTGCGCGTTAGAAGGAAGACTGAGATGAAGGCATCCCTTTGTGTAGCGTTGATTTGTTTGTTCTTTTCTTTTTCGTAAATAAATTGCAGTCGTTTCATCATTGCTTTCAGATTCAAAGAGCCATTCTTCTCAGAGAAAGAGCGCGATGCCTTGGGCATTTGGACGACTCACAGAGGTTTGCTCTGAATTCTTGGATGAAAGAGAAGTTCCAAATAGTTTGCCACCTTTTTTCAGACAGGAAACAGCACAAATGCTGCAGCCGGAACAGCACAGATGACTCAGCCCGCAGCTTCCAGCAGGAACTGAATGACGAGCCAACGAACGAGTCTTTTTCAATAGGACTTGGCCTCGTTTAGTTTAGAACTCAAAGAATGGCAAGTGCCAACCGACTTGAGGCTTGTTCTCTGCAAGTGAAGCTCCAGGCATTGGGTGCGAAATGTAGGCGCATGCACCGAGAGCCGGGAGGTCTCATTTACAGCGACTTCACAGAGATACCCCCCCTTTGGCCGTTGGCCGCTTTTCCGTTCTTTGACAGGGACCATGTGGAAGGTCCCCTTTCTGACACATCCTCTCAGGTTTGCAGTTTGGGGCGTTTCTTGTTGCCAGGTGGGCGCTGTGACCTTGTTCATGCCCGAGGACTTCTCCAACCAGATCTTCCAAAGGTTGAGCCTTGGCTTCCACCACCACACCCCTGTTGAAGAATGGTGGTGTTTGGGGGCTTGAAGTGGGCTGCCTTTACATCGCAACGATGTGGGTGTTGCCATCTGGAACTGGACGCTTGGGAAGGGACAGGACCCGGCAAAGGCCCTGAGCCCCCCGAAGTTGCGTGAAGCAACCCGACCCAAGGCGCTCAGGGAGGAGGCGTATACCAAAAGAAGTTTGGAAGGAAATAGAACTCGTTGACACCCTGCTGTCTTTGAGGAAAAATGTATTGCGCAATGATGAAATCCCGAGAATTGGGCGAATGGCAGCCACACAAGCACGGCACTGAATTCAGCTCTTGGGATAGCGAGCAAACCACCTCGCTCCTTGCGCCTGACAGAAGCGGACCATGGTACCATGCTCGCGCTGTCTCGGATGCTGGGCCTGGGGTTGGCCTTCAAAAGCTCGATCGTTTTTGTTAACTTTCACTTTGCTCTCGCAATTCCGGTGGTCAGCCATAAAAATAAGGTGTGTGCTTTGCATGTTCAGCTTGCACAGCAGTCAAATGGTGAGCCAACCATCAAAACTCGCGTTGTTGTTTTCAATGTTCACCAGGAATTGCCTAGCCTGCTATCGAAGAAGAAGGTGTATCCACTGTCCAACTAGGGAACTGACTGGCTAGCAAACTAGCTAACTACCTCGCTCACCTAACTATCTAACACTAGTATCCCTACCCACCACGCCTGTCTATGCATCACCACTAGCTTCCACGTGAACAAGCTGACTACCAAACCAGCTAGCTAACTTGAGTATCTCGCCGGCCAACTAGGTTGCTTTGGAACTAGCTCACTACTTTGCCAGCTGACTTAGCTGTCTAGCTCAGTCGCAAATTAGCTAGCTAGCTAACTAGCTAACAAAGCTCGCTACTTGACTAACAAGCTGGCTAACTTGCTCGCTACTTGGTAGCTACCAGGAAACTAGTTAGCTTTCAAACTAGCTAACCACTTATCCAGCAAAGTCGCTTACGAGCTAGCTAGCTAGTTAGCTAACCAGCTGGCTAGCTACTAGCCAAGTTGACTCCACACATGCAATCAAAGAGAAAGACTCAGAACAAGGACGCGCAGGCAATTCATGCATGTGCATGCAGAAAGAACCACATCCCAACCAATCATTGCTTGAGTTTGAACATTCGGCCGGCTTTGCTGGCTTTATTGGCCTTCGGTCGCACGTGGGAGAGTTCAGGAAGCCTTTTCTGCCAGATCACTTTGGCGGGCGACCCATTGGAATCAACCGGAGCTGCCTGGCCTGCGGCAGAGTAGACCCGGGCAGAATGTTGGTGGCATGCACCGGTCCACTAAAGGGCTGCTTTGGTCCGGTTGCTGAAGTGTGTCCCTCAACATTGGCACAGTCATGTCCAACAGACGTTGCAACCACCCATGTTTGCCGCACTAGCTGGCATGCCAAGTGTCTAGATCTCTGCATGCCCTGGTGGGCGCAGATTTGACCTTCAACAGTTTGAAGACCTTGCCAATCAGAAGGTTTCCACCACCTGAATAAACGTTACAGGCTGGAGTCTCTTGCTTGGCGGCAACCCAGGGTGTATTGAATGTTGTTTTTTGTTCTGCGTTTTGCTATGCTTGGGGAAATGGATCTCGTCCACGCTGACATGTTCATGACGCCTTTGTCTCAGGGTGGGCTGTGCTGAAGTACCAGAAGGGCCAGTACCTTAATCCACATATTGATGGCCACACTCCTGGCACTATTCGTGTAGGCGAGGGAAGGCTCAAGAGCAAAGTACCGGAAGGTAGACAGCATGAGCTTGTTGCACGCGAATGGGACCACGGCCCTGGCTGTTGCCACAGGAGTAATTAGATGCCACACCGCGTCATTTGCCGGATTGCTTTTGTTTGGTACCGCAGCTACTTTCACGGCTTGGTCACCCAACTTCAGCAAAGCGGGGATGCGGCACGAGCCCTGACTGCAGTTGCGTGGCAGGAAAGGAGCTCCAGAAAGAGACAGGGACCCGCTCCTACATGTCATGCCTCTTCTGGCTGAGCGATGATGTGGAAGGAGGAGAGACGGTTTTCACATATCCGCAGGGCGGCATTTGGGTAGCTATCCCGCCAAAGATTCTTGGTGCGCAACAGTATTTGCGTGTAGCTGGCATTCGCTTGCGTTCAGCGGAAAGGCCACAACACCAAGGCTCAGGCAAGTCACAGAAAGGGATTTGTTTGCAGGCGGAGTTCCCTTTTTGCCTTTCACAGTCCATCCAGGCGTTGATCTTGCGTTGGGCAGCTGAAGCCAAGGACTGGTGCAGCACTGCTGTTCTACCATGGGCAGAATGCGGTGAACAATCCTTTGCACTATGGTGGTGACGTGAAATCCGGCATCAAGTACTTGGCCTTCTCCTTAGGCAATTGCCAAGGGCCATGCGGGCCATGCGGGTATCATGTATTCGCCACATGTACACTGAACCCATCATGCTGAATGATAAGCCAAATCTGCATGGAATGATTTCTCAGGAACGTTTCTTCCCACGGATAGGTGCTCGGGAGCAAGATTCGTGCATGCCCAATGCTTGAGCTCAGACGTTTGCTATAATCAAGGAATGCGCCTGGCAGTTCTCACACATTGCTTTGAGGTCCGCTCGGACATCATTTACAAGGCTTGATTGCTCTCTCACCAGCAACTGCTTCCGCGGTTGGAGCAACTGGCGACTTGAAATGCAAGGCTGGGGTTTGCGGTTGGCAGGCTGATGTGTTTGTCTTTGGGCAGTCACACGCATCGCAGAAGTATGCTGCGAACTCAGCCAGCTGCCGATGCATTGCTTGGTTGGGCACTTTCTCATTGTGTTCAAGACAGTCCCCGCATAATGTTAGAGCGGGCACGGCGCTATCTCAAGCCAGCTGATGCCAACTCTGAACATCAGCCTTGCTGTAAATGACATGGAACCTGACAGGAGGCTGTCAGAAGGAAACTGGCCTTGAAAAAAATCCATGTAGAAGGTGTGCGGAGCCGTGGTCCGGACTTGTTTGTTGACAATCGGTGGACGGTACAGAAAGAGTTCAACGCAAAGAAAAGCCAATGAAAGGCGCTGTGGTGCCATTGAATCTCGCAGGCGGTGCGCCGATATGCAAAGTTTCGAGGGTCTCGAGCAGTACTAGCGTGTAAATGCAGCCTCAAGGTGACAGCAGACTAATGAACACGGAAGCCAGACTTGCGTTGACGGCCAATTCTTGTTGGCAATGTCACGTGGAGCTTCAAAATGCGATCATGAGTCAGTCCTAGTCATTCAATTGCCGAGAGCGAAGGGCACTTGCCATGTGAGCAATTCAGGGGACAACTGGAGCGGGTTGGCAACAGCCCAAGGCTTCGGCGCTGCCATAGAACGCGCCCAAAGACAGATCGCTGAAAAGGGTGCGAGTTGCAGCTCACTTGAAGCCTGGTCCTCAAAGACTTTGGGGAAAGGGATGTTTCTCAGTTGATGGGAGTGTTTCCCTTTCTGCTGAGAGGTGGATCAAGGATTTGAACATCCGCAACGTGGCAAGGCGGATGCTGATTCAACATTGTTTTCAGAGACCTTCCCTATATTTCATTTTGAACAGCCCAAACAATGGGCCATCACGCCGATCATGGTAGACCTAACAGCGCTGCGGGTTGATGAACTTGCGGCAGTTTCGGCAAACATGCTTTCCCAACTGGCTTGGACCATGACATGTGCCCCATCGACTGTTGAGACTGCCCGGGTAGCTACACTGGCCCTGCTCGTGGCACCTTGGCCTCCATGGTATCTCTATGGCAGTGCTTGCCTTGATTTTGGTCCGGCTTTGTGAGATGAGTAGGATTGAAGCAATACCCCTATGGCCAGCTCTCAATGCCTTTTGAGTATGACCCCCCATCCTTTGGCAGCAGGCAACGATAGCTCCCCCGTGCCAGGCAGCACGGAGCCCTGTCCCCTGGACGACGCAGGCTCTTGGGGCGGGGGGGGGGGGGGGCAAGTAGATTCCGGCAGCGTGTTGTTGTTTGTTTCACGGCATATGGGTGTGGGTCAAAATCAAACCACCAGGGGACCGCATGTTTTGGTCTTTGTTTCCATTTACCGGGGTACCTATTTTTGACCCACACCCATATGTTGATTCCTTGGCAGAGTTGCGCAGTTGGGCGCCCAGCCGCAAAGGCTGCAGTGTCTGACACGCAGCCGCAGCTTGGCACAACAAGGGGCTGCAAGCGGGCTTGTTGCGAGTTCGAGGGGTACCTGTGCAATGAGAGAAGCATCGGAAGTATTTTGTTTATGCTTCACCTCGTGTGCCCTCACCTCACCAGTGCACATGGTCGTGCCAATATTCGGGCACACGCTCTAATTGTTGGATATCTCCCTGTTGCATTCACACCACATGCACACTGAAGGCAAAAAGGTACAGAATGTTTCTGCCGCGTGCGCTCACCCGTGCATGCTTTGACAAGAAAGGTCGGGCACTTGTTTCGTGACAACCAAATTTTCGCAAGGTCAGGTACAGGTTGCTTGGAAGGCGCAACAGTGTCCCTCAGGCACGAGTTTCCCAATGGCTGTTCAAGAGATTCTGCCAGCTGACACGCGAGCGTCGTTGCGGTCGCAGCTGTAATTAGTTGTCACGGCACCAGTGGCACCAGTCTGACTTTTCGAAAGTGCTGTGCCTGTCACGAAATCTTCTCAAATGGCGCGGGAAGCCTCACAGCAGTGACACAGCTTCGGGCACCCTGCTTCCACCTGAGAACCTCCATCAGCTAAATTCGCAGACAAGCTCCTCAAGCCAGCTGTCCCATGCTCAAATGGAAGGGGTGGATCGCACCCCCCCCCAAACCAAAAAAATGCAATTCGAGCATGTTTCATAGGCAAGGCGGAGAGGACGCCAAGACAATCCACGGAGAAAATGTTTCAAGCTTGCGCTGTAGATTTGCTGAACAGCGGCTGCTTGGTGTGAGGAATGAGCCCAGAAACGCGGACGACTGGCACTCTGCACATAGTTCGCCTGTTCAAGCGGCCCGGAAACAGGGACACCTGCCAGTGTGGCCAAGTTTCCCTTTTCTGATTCGAGGTAGGAGCGGGCCATGTGCACCAGCTTTCCACTCAAGGGCCGAGCTTCAGGCGCAGTACTTTAGACTGGTCTGCGTGGAGCCGCCAACGAGCCACGATCCGCAAGATCAAGGCAATGCGCAGCCGGGGTGGGGGCAAGGAGCGTATCCCGGACGCTGCTCTCCACCCCCTGGCACGCGAGCGGCGGCGCCAGAGGCAGATCCATGCGGACCCGCCTTGCTGGCGGCACACGTGTCAGATTTCGGCGACCTGCAACGCAGGCCGCGAACGTACCAGAAAGCGATCACTCCCTACACCCGGGGATGGAACTCCGCAGTCCCGGCCGACACACCGCTCCCCCACGTTCTGGCAAATGCCCGCGACTCGCACCGCATGCTTGCAGGGCTCGGGGTGCATACCCCTGTCGCAGGCTCAAAATCAAGTTGGGGCGGGTCGGATCCTAAGATAAGTCATTTGTTTTACAACTCATTTTGGCCTCTGCGAAAAAGCCTTCAAAGTTGGACTGTTTCAAGTCCATCCAAAGAGTGCGGCAACTACATTTTGGACATTGCATTTTTCACAGGCTATCAAAATTCAGTGTGGAGTTGGACCATGTTAAGTTTAGGGGGGCGGGAGGGCGGTCAAAGAATCAATACTTCGATCGCACAATGGATTTCGGACCCCTTTTGCTTCGCATTTGTTGTTGGAACGAAAGGAAACCGAAGCCTGTTTGGAGGATTCGGTCCGAAGACCAAAATCTAGCTCAAAACCTACGGAGACCATGGTGATTTCAAGGAAACCATGGTGAAACCATCCGAGTTGAACCCCCCCCCCCCCAAACTTTATTTTGTGAAAAAGGGAGTGTGCAAAATAAACATGAGTTGGACCCCCCTGGCTTTGTTTTCATCCAAAAGTAAAATGAAATACGTTTTGTCCAACTTGCACTGTTCAATCCAAGCCCCCAAAAGGAGGCCAACATGAATCGTGACTTGTCAATGTATGTTCTGTCAAAGTTGGGCTATTTCATGTTATTTTCCAATAAGGATGGACTAACCCAATTTTACCTGATAAAATGGGAATGTTTCCGGGCACTGCACCGCCCGGCGGCCTTTCAGCTGAAACATGCCCTGCCCAGCACACACGCAGAAGGTGGTGGGCTGACCGGATTGAGATTAAGCGTTGTTTCAAGGGTAGATGTGTTTCTTAGTCATCGCATCAAGCAAACGGAAGCAATTTTTGAATTGCCAAGGTGAGCCAAAGCTAGTTGTGTGTGTTGCCATATTGCCATACCTGGACCCTCCGGCGGCAGAACTTTCTGCCGAAAGGCCCCGGCGGCAGAAGCTTTTGTCGAAAATCAAAAACAAAAAACGCCGCCCGGGGGGAAGAAAAAAAAGAAACGAAACGCAACAAACGCTCCCACATGCTGAAACCTACTTCCGTAAAATTCCGCCGATTTCCTGCTGCCGTTTCTTGCACAGAACTAAAAAAAAAAAAAAAAAAAAAACGCTGCCAGGAAAACTAGAAACGCCGCCAACAGCAAAAGGCGCCTTTTTCGATCAAGGCAGACACGTTTGCCAATTTGGGTGGTCCAGGCATTGGCTGCTGCGTTTGCGTGTGGGTCTTCGTTTTTTTTGATTGGGAGTTCACAGAAGAGCTAGGATTGCATCGAGATGGGCATTCCGCAGTCAGAAAGGAGGCCGGGAAGGCTGCTTGGATCCTGGTTGCGTTTGCCCGACAGTTGTTTGTGATGCTGGGCAGGCCAGCTACCGGGACAAGGGCCGACTGTCAAGTGCTCAGACTTGGTCATTTGCAGATCTGCGTTAAGTCAGCTTGGCTTACAACGAAAGGCAACCACACGGCTTTCGCTAAGGCCTGAAACTGCGGGCTTTGTACCGGTTTGCTTCTGTTTTTTGGTTTGTGCCTGTTTTGATCGAGACGCTGCTTTGCCCAATCTTGCAAGCCAGTGGAAACCATGTTTATGTGGGTTTCCGAAGGTTCCAACTCATTTTCCACGCACAGCAGCTTTCCACAGTTTCTCAAGCCTTCCCCGAGGCAAAGCCGGCGGCCAATGGATCGCCAGCTGACAGGTGGGGTGTGCAGAATGGTGTTTTCTTTATGGTGGGTTTTGGAAGGGCAATATTGCCTGTTGATTCGCTAAGATGACCAACGCAGGCGTCGCCGAGCAGGCCGCGCACGAAGCTTTTCACGAACCTGAAATGACCCCCCAAGAATTGAATTCAAAATAAGTGAAAATAGGATCCAATATATGCAAAAACATAACCTGAAATGACCCCCCAAGAATTGAATTCAAAATAAGTGAAAATAGGATCCAATATATGCAAAAACATGTGGGCATAGCAGCAAATATACATATACAGGTAGCTGTGAGGGACCTCAAAGATGTCGCCGGAGTTTTTTGGTACGATACGGGGTTCTGTGTTAGCTAGATTAATGGGTCTCCATTTTGTGTGTCCATTGCTGCACACTGCTAGCGCTTTTTTGGATTTGTCTTCTTCTGAAGACTGGCATTCTGCACAGCAATTTATGTGCGATAACTACTCTTCGATGCTATAAGGGAGTCCCCTCTAAAATTCTTATTTCATGATATATATTTTTAATACGATATTTAGAATGATTTCCGAAGGTGATTTTATTTTTTTGTATAAATTAAAAAATATATAATTCACCTTAATTTATATTTTTTTAATTATGAATTATTTAAAAAAATATATATAAATTAATTAACATACATAACAAATTACTAAATAATAAATTATTATATAATTACCTATAATATTTATAATTATTTATTTAAAATAATATTTATAAAAATTTATGTTTAAATAATTATTTTTATATTAAATTATTATATTATATTATATATATATATATTGTTATATAATTTTAATAACGACACATTATGTTAATGAAAAGATTGGTATAAAAAGACATAATTTTAAATATTAAAACTACAATAATAAAAATATAAATATGTAAAAAAACACAATTTAAAAAAATTTGTACATATTTAATATATTTTAATTATAACATTAATTCGAATTAAATGTAATTTAATTTAATTAATAGATTTAAATATATTAATTTAATTTGAAATATAATTTATTTTGATTTATATATTTTAATATAATTTATATTATATAAAATCTATTTTGTTTTATTTTTTTTAAATATATTTGTATTTAATTTGTATTATATAAATATTTTAATATTTATGATATATATTATTAAATAAAAAAAAATAAGATAAATATAAATTATTTTTTTTATATATATAATTTAAAAATAAATAATATATGGAGTATAATTATATTTTTGGAATATATATAGAAGAATTTATATATAATGTTATTTTATGATTTTTTAAAACAATAAAAATAATTCTATATATTGAATAATATATTTTTTTATTATAATTATTTTTGCGAAGAAATTGATTAAATATTATTAATATGAGAATTAATTTTATATAATAACGACGATTTCTTTTATATTAACAAAATTATTTGTATAAATAGATATTTAAAAGACTTATTTAATTTATTATACATATATTTTTATAAAATAATATAAATAACCAAATGTAAAATTGTCTCAACCTATTTTAATATGTATTTATATTAAAATTCCCTAATAATATAATAATATATATAAATAGACAGTAAAAAATATTTTCTTTAAATATCAAATATCTATTTATATTAAAACTAACGGGACCCGCTGCTTTCCAGTAGCGTATAGAATCAGAGCATGAATTAAAAACATATTCCAATTAATAATTATAGATAGATATATACGAATATATTCATAGAGATAGAAATAGGCAGGCCGAGCAAATGTTTGACGAAAGGCGGCTTTGAAAAAATGAATAATTGCGATTTTGAGCCTTTGCCGATTGCACACTGCACTGAAGTAAAGACCCAATTCTAGAAACCCAAATATCTAAAAATAAATTGAAGATAAAATTTCTCGGCAGCACCTCAATATATTTCCTAAACCACTACGATGCACAAAGCAATAGTAAGTCTCAAGTGCCCGATATCAGCATATAGATATATAGTCAATGAAAGACGATCGCCTAAACAAGGGAAGAACGGACCCGTGGGCTATTAGCCTTAAAAGGTCCATCCTCATACATAATTATTGCAATACACACGAAAACACCATCGACAAGAAAATATCCTAGATACAAACAAAACCGAATTCATTTCGCTCAAAATATTAAGAAAAACGCCATTAATCGTAACAATCGGCTCTCACATCGCCAAACTCTCGCAAAACGAACGCCATATTTCAACCAAAATAGTAACGGAATATCTAAATAAGTTATTTTTCTAATCTCCCAAACAAATATCCTTCATGGATATATTCGTTCCATAGCAGACCATACCAATACGAATTCGATCAACCTAAGGAATTATATGATCGAATCTTTTAAGTTACACCGAAATCGGCCAACTTCACCATCTCGTCATTAACATGAATCTTATCATTTAGATGCCTTTTTAAAACACCTCTTTTTTCGAAATCTCGAAAAAGAAGGTTTCGATTCCAATATAAATTAAACCGCTCCACTCCTCTAAAAAATATTTCTTATTCCTCCATAAATCCTTCAACCAAAACAAACCCATACAACCGAAACAACAACCAAAAAAATTCGGGTTTCATATCCCGATAAAATGAATCAACAACCTCTATCACTAAATTGCTCAGATTTAGAAACAAGCTAAGCTATATAATCTAAAACATAATATTTTAAACCTTGCTCTTAAATATTATGCACACCTAAAAACAATATCCTCCAATTTCCATCAAAATTTTCCGAATTCTTTCGGCAATATAAAAAATCGAATCCTAAATTTTATAGACTCATAACAATTAATTTATACAATATCAATTAAATTTCATAAATTCATAAAGCTTAACCTGTACAATATCAATTTCAAACAAATAAACAACAATAAAAACAAAATCAAGAGACAAAAACAAAAACAAAGATACAAATATGCACAAACATACAGACACAAACACACAAGCACACAAGCACAGAAACACGCAAACACACAAGCACACAAGCACACAAGCACACAAGCACACAAGCAGACAAGCACACAAACTTTCAAATACACAAACCCACAAATACAAACACACAGACACACAGACACACAGACACACACAGAGACACACAACGACACACAGAGACACGCGCAAACACACGCACAAGCACACGCACAAACACAGACAGACACACACGCAGACAGACACAGACAGACACAGACAAACACAGACAGACAGATAGACAGACAGACAGACAGACAGACAGACAGACAAAGAAACAGATACCAGACCAACAGAGAGACAGAGACAAAAAGAGAGACACCTCCGGCGCGCAACGCGCCGGATTCTGATGTCGACATGCCACAGCCTTCGCCTGTCCCCTGGCGCCCTCACCTAGCGGAGCGAGCCAGTGGGAAACGGTTTGTCACGCGCTTGTCTCGACGCTGCACCGCCGCCGCTCTCTTTGCCCTCCACGACGGCTGTATTCTAGCCCGTGGCCAGGAGGTGGTTGCAGGTGTTCGGCGGCCCTTTTTCCGGGTTGCCGGTTTGGATTGGTAATTTGGATCGGTGCTTTGGAACTTAGAAGGGGTGGGTTTTCATTCAACTTCAACATAATCCAGGGTTCCCGAAACCACCAATCCAAACCAGCAATTAGGGGTTAATTGAGGCGGGTGCCAAAAAGGGGCCGAGCCAAGGTTCAGGCCGTGGTAGGTGTTCCAAGAACAGAGCAAATCTTATAAAGCCCGTGCCGGCAAATCATTTTTTGCAACTCAGGCACCAATATATTTTATCATCTCATATATATCAAAAAATGTATGTTCGTCGTATACGAAAAGCATGCTGCCGTTCTCCAAACACAGGTCGCGAGACGCATTGAGGGCTGGTCGCGATAGGGTCATGCCAAAGAGTCAGTGAAAGTCGGTCGCCTAAGCAAGGTGCGAACGGATCTGCGGGCTGTTAGCCTCAAAAGATCCATTCACACACACAATTATTGTAAGTGCAAGCGAAAACGAAACTAACCAGAAAACATCCTAAGTGCAAGCAAAAGCCAAACACATTTTGCTCAAAATATCAATAATCGCAACAATCGGCCGCGGCTCATAACTTCTCGCATCATCAAATTCTCGGAAAATGGGCCAACCAGCTAAAATTGCTACGAATAAGCCAACAACATCTTCCTCCAAATATCCCGAACATCTCAATAATTACATTCCAAGCTATTTTTCGAAAATTGGTCCAAAATATCCCTAAAAAATACCACCACTTCGTATTTCCTATAAACCATTTATTTAAATCTATCCGTGATTTCATTAAACCAATTTCCTAACACCAATTATTTCGGGTAAATCAGAATAACCCATCATTTTCTCGAAATATTCCGAATATTTCCCAAAATAATAAAAAAGAAAAAAAAAAAGAAAAAACAATATTTAAATAAAATGTTAAAAATAAATTAAATGATTAATTAATATAATATTAAAGAAATAATATATAAGATTTTTTAATTTATTTAATAAATGTATAGAAATATATATATATATATTTATTTATTCTATAACATAAAATTGTAAAATTTGTTTATTGCATTTGTCTACATTTTACTGGAAAAAAATCCCGAATATTTTGGATTCCGGATATTTTGATAACCATATTTTCCGAAATATTTAGATATAATATTCAATATTTAAATTATATATGTATTTATTCAATTATTTTTTAAGATTTGAATTATATTTTATAAATATATCCTTTTATATTCCAAAATAATAATAATAATATATATATATATATATTATAATAATTATAATATTATTTCATTTATTTATTGCTAAACCCAAATATAAACATAATATAATATATATATATATTGAAATGTAATTATTAAAATCGAAACAAATAATTCAATCCTAGTCCGAATTCAGAGATCATTATCCTAGAAATCCTTCCTTCCAATCCTAAATAGGCAAAATGGTGTGACAGGGCGTTTAGCATACATATATGTTTGTTTGCATCATCCTTTTCCCCACATTCATCATGCATTTGGAATGAATCCGATTTCGGATGTTGGTTTGATCTCAGTTACATTCAGTTGCACTCTGAGTACTTGGCCTGCCGCAACCGCCGAACTGCCTCCCGCAATCGAGGTCTATCTCCCACCGGCAGTTCCTTGCACAAGATGTCAATGTCCTGCGCTCACAAAGGGTCGCTGCTGACTTTTCACCTACCTCAACACTGAGCGGTGACCAAAAATAAAAGGACACAATGTCATAATATGGGACTGGTGTCCGCGCATCTTCCGCTGGCTTCCGCGGACAGTAAGTGTGGGATTCTTGATGAGCTTTGCCAGGGTTGTTTGCGCGTTTTCTGGGCGACAATGTGCTCAAAGCCTGTTGCAGGAGTTCCGGGCATTCCTCCAAATCACCTTTTCTCTTCACAGCTGACCAAATGCAAATAAGGAGCCAAAATTCAGTTTGGTTTGCTTTACCCGAAAAGGCAATTTTTGATTGAGCCAAGTAAATCGTTAATCGCTTCCAAAATAATTCTGGAGATGCGTTGCTTTTGCTGCTGGCCCAAACACATTGGCAAAACACCTGCCTGAGTCAAATAAATGGTGTTTATTCTTCATGTTGTCTGCCAGAGTCAGGCCGTTTTGTTGGCTTGCTTTTGGCACAGTCAGGGGTCCTAGACATGATTTTTCTCCTGGCGCCAAAAAACAAAATGTTTGTGCCAAACAAATCGCAGCTGGTTTTTCCGACTTCACAAAAGAGGATGCTAGCGCTCCCTTTGGTGAGAAGACCGGAGTGAATCAGTCTGTAATGTGGACCTGGTTCTCACCCACTGTGCCTATTTAGGTGCAATCGATTCTTCTCTCGTTTGCTTTTGGTGTCCCTTTTCTTTGGTGTATTGGGGTGTGCTGGGGCGCAATAAACACGATTTGTTTGGCCCAAACAAATTGGCTTTTGCAAGTTGCGGGGTTGTTTGTTTCTCCAAGAACCCGGCACCAAAAAGCAACAATTTGCTTGAGCCAAATTAACTGTTCATTTTTATTGCCATCTGTGAAGCTAGCTTCCGCGGCAACAAAGCTTGCAATGTGCTCCGAAGAAACTTCCGCAAGCATCCGTGCCCTAAGCCAATCCTTCCGCGGATTCCTATTTTGGCCCCTCTACGACTAAGTTTCTTCATAGGATGGTTGATCGCTGCTCGACTTGATTTATCACATAGACGGGGCAGATACGATACGGCAAAACCGATGGGAGAAAGCACAAACCGCCCGTTGATGCGGGCTAACAGCAGTCCTCCCGCGAGAGCTCAAGCAGTTCTCCGGGCGTGCGCAGTCTCTGCTCCTTGAAGATGGCCGTCACGTCCGAGGAAAGGTCAAACCGTTCCTCGCATTTCAAAAGGATCCTTAACCAAGGATTGCCAAAACTGAGGGACTGGAGAGCAAACCATTTCTTGTGAGTTTGTTTTATGCAAATTCCATACAAGTGCTTGCATCTGACTGAGACCAGCACGCAAAAGGCTTGCCAATCCCCTGCATGCTCTTGCCGCATCGGGGTCTGGCAGTGTTCATCCGGGGTCATGCTGGGAGCTGCACGAGAATGTGTTCTTAGACTGGCCGCTTCTTCCCCCAGAAGCATGCCCTTCATCTCGTCCAGGACCCTCGGCGCGAACGCATTCTCAGCCTCCTGCATACGGCCAGCTGCAGGTCCGTCCCTCCCCAGAAGCATGCGCTTCATCTCGTCCAGGGCCCGCAGCGCGACCGCTTGCTCAGCCTCCTGCTTACGGCCTTCTGGTGGTCCCCGCCACTCGAGCCCCTCCTTGCAGCGTGTTGGGCCACGAGTGGACAAATACCGGTGACGTTTGGCATTGTCCTTGTTTGACCAACCAATGCAAACAGGACACCGCAAACCTCCAGTGCGCATGTGAAAACACACACACACACACACACTTACTTTTTATTGGAACCCCCCCCTCCAAAAAAGAAGTAAACGAGGTAGACAACTGGCTCCTTGCCGGCCATGCTCAGTTTCACCACTGCCCGGAAGCCGCCCACTTCCGCCTTACATTCATAGGTGAGTGCGGCCGCGCCAAGCACGTCGATGCACTCTTTCAGGGCAGACTTGGCCGTCTTGCCGTTGCCTACCTCACAGGGGCCTCTTGCCACATGTTTCTCAGGATCTGGCATAGAGCACATGGGTGTGGGTCAAAAAAAGGTGCCCGAAATGGATCCTTGGTAAACGGACACATGGACTAAAACCTGCGGTCCCCTGGTGGTTTAATTTTGACCCATACCCACATAAGGGTTTTCGTCCAGAAGAAACAACAACCTGCCTCAGCAATGCGAACCAAGAGTTCTGTTTTCTTAGGGAGCAGGTGCTCGAGAAAGTCCTCCGTGGCCATTGCATCAGAACTTACCGGCCCCATGCACGCACTGCTCCGCGCCACACAGCTCGTCCAGCTGCAGGTTTCGATGTCTACGCTTTCTTGGCAGCTGGGGCAAATGTGGCCCTCCTCATCCAAATGCTCTCGACATACCCAGTGTGCGCTCCTCTTTGGACATTTGGTCATGATGCGCGGAATCTGATAGTAGTCGTCAAACTCCGACCTGCTACAAACATTGCTATCAGACGAGGTAGATTTCTGCCGGCACCAAGAACACATCCGGCGCCGCTCTCCGGCGGAGTACATCACCTGGCAAATTGTAGGTGCAAAGCCAGATTTGGCAGTCAGCGCTCAGCTTCTGAATAACGACCCGCTGAAAGAAAACTGCTCTGACGAACTGCAGAGGCATGCGCAAACGTGAACCCCAACATCTATTCTGGTGGCAACTTTCTGAAAAAGCATGAATGCTAATGCTTGAATCCTTCAAGCTTTCAAACTTGGCCACTCTGCACACGAAGAGTTTCAGTACCTGGGAAGAAGAAAAAAAAAACGGACCCGGCGCAAGCTGCCAGGAGCTTGTCCTGGAAGCATTTCGAGCACATGATTTCATTGTCCAGGAAACAAAAGGCCTAAGGCGAAGGTCACACCAAGGACCAGACATGGTCCAACTGGATCTCCCGAGATTGGACATCATGTACAAATCCTCTCACAGCCGCAAACCATCTCAGTGTCTCGCGTCTTGCTGAATTCCACGCTTGCCGGCCTGAAGATCCAGGTGCTTGCAGCCGTCCTTCAACTCCAGCAGCTTTCTTCCGGGGAAAAGCACCTCACCCTGCTGCAGCAGCTTCACGCCCTGGCACCGAATGTCTCGGTCGCCAAAACACGTCGCAACCAAAGAAGTGGCTGTGGGTCAAAACTAATGGGATCCCATTTTGGGGTAGGTGCACCACCCATTTTAGAACCTATTTTAGTGGAGATTGGGATGTTCACTGGTGGTACGGGATTCTGACCCATTGCCATATGGTTCTGAATTTCGTTTGGTGGACATCATTTGGGTGGACATCATTTGGGTGGAGATTCATGACCACCCTGCACTTTGTAGGTGGTTCCCTAATAAAAATCATAGCCATATCTTCAATCACTGGATTTACCACTCCCATCGTGTCACACCATGTCACACCCTATGCAAGGACTCAGGTGTGCCTCGTCTGCTTGTGCCAGCTTCTTCGCTTGCTTCGCAACGTCCGCCACCTGTCGCAGTTACTGAATGGCTCTGTTAGGGCTGCTGTGTGGACAACTAGAAAACACACCAAATTGATTGCTACTCTATGGTATTGCTGCTGCTTTGCTGAGATGAGTCGTTAGGCTTGAGTCTTTCAAACAAAACACAAGATTCAGTGATAAGAAAGTGGCCACTCTCCTCTGTCTCAAACTTGTTGTGGCTGGTTGATGAACTCAACAACCCAGTTTTGCCCATGGCACAAACTGATCACAGCAGGCCTTGGCATCGTGCCTGAAAGCATGGTGCTGCACAACGTTGCCAGCCAGATTTCGTACCCGCACAGAGACGCCGTCCATTGCTAACACGCAAGCACCAATGCCAAGCTAGCCAGCGCGGCGAGCACGAAAGCTCGCGAGTCCGCCACCTTCCCCAACGTGTGCGCACGGGCGACGTAGTGAGACAATTGGCGTTTCGGGCAAGCCTGGACAACGCCACGCAACAAATTGGAATCCACGCTTGACAAGTAAGTAGCTCAAACCATAGTCTGCAGCAGTCATACACTGCGCAGTGTATCCGTCTACAAACATAAAACATTCACTGGGTTGCTAGGAGACAGATGCCTCTTCGACAGAACGTTAGCATTGCTTGCGTAATCATGTTTCTCCGAGTCAGCGATCAAGTAGCACAGCTCGCCCGCCCTACTCAGACTCTCCAGATCTGCTCATTAACGAACATCTTATCCTCTACCCTTCTCTAAGCCGTTGGATCCTCCACAAACGAAACTTTCATCCGCTTCTCCTTCCATCCATCTCCGGCTTCAGAAGTCGATCTTAGTGCTAATGCCGACCCCTGATTAATAACCCCCCGCAGCTATTAATCATTTTGGTCCCCCAGAAAGAAAGGATTCCCCACTATAAAAGGAACCCCCCCTTGAAGAATTGGGTGGTTTATCGACATTACTTGGCACGTCCAGATCCGATGCGCACTCTTTGGTTTTCCGGATTCCTCTCTGCCAGCGCGGCGGCGTCTCGGCCTCTTGGCATACTCTCCGCGAGGTTTGTCTCGACAAGGTAAAAATGGGGACCCACATTCAAGGGCAAGTCCTGGTATGGACTTTGGAGGCATGGAGGCTATATACCACTTGTATAAGGGCTATGCATTGTCTTACAAGCGCAGCTTGGTGCTACGTGTATGTAAACATTCGTACCTCTCAAACCCATCTGAGGAAATGCCCTTGACAAATGGCTTTGCTTTGGAGCCTCTTTGAAACACAGCAAAACAAATATCGCATTCTACCATCGACCAGCAGTGCAGCCGCTTTGTGAGGATTAAGGAAGCCAGATCAAGCCCCAAATTCATTGTGTTGGCAAGCAGTGACAGGCCATCTTGGCTGGCTGGCTTCGTTGGTGGTTCCTTTGGGCGCCAAGAAACCGATGGTGTCAGGGCTTCAGATGCGCCGTGTATATCCTGTATATCCAACGCTCGCAGGGTGGTTCATGCCCATGCCGCAGGAACTGTTGGATCACCGGGCGTGCTTTCTGCGTCTGCTAAGTTCATCAGAGTTCCAACAACGAAAAAGTTCTCTTCTCTTCGGACCCTTCGTGGGTGAGATCAGGCAAGCTTGCCCTAGAGTGAGGCAAACTGCATGTTTGGCAAGGTATGCTCTGTCCAGCCAGACCCCTCGTGTCCGCTTCCATTGAAAAAGGGGTGGTGTCCGACGCGATCGTGCATTGAGCTCCAGGCTCCAGGACAGGAAGAAGGAGTCCTGGCCATAGGTATCAGCAGGAAACTCGAGATTCGCATGGCGAATGCCTTTGAAGTGCGGACACATATTATGTGTCCGCACTTCAAAGGCATTCGCCATGCATATATGCGAACAAGAACGCTGGGTCAAAGTTCCTCGCGTTGTGATCTCGACCCTTCATCTGGATCGTGGAGTGCGCAAATGAGAGGAACTGACAGGATCGAAACCCCGTCCAATCCTCAGTTATGGAGGAAAAAAACACGCGGTGAAACCCGCCCTCCATTTCCCCAGTACCCACCGAGGGGGGAACATGGGGCAGGGATTTGTTGCGACCCGCGCTCGTAAGACCCGCTAGGCTTGCCATGTAGGACAAGAGCTGGAAGCGATCCGTCAGAATTCGCCTGACGCAGCAAAGAGCCAACTCCAAGCAGAACTCCGATTGGCGTCTTTTTGGGTGCCCGGTTTTTAGATAAACCATTTTGAAAATGACGCAGAAAGAAAAGTATTTTGCCTTGGTCAACCCGTTCCCGAGTCGTTTTGGCTGTGGACAGCTAAACAGAAGAAATCCAGTGCTCTCAACATTTTACCTCCCGCGCAACAAGAAAGGCGTCATGGCTGGTGACTGGTGACATGCTGATTCCTTTGCAACGACATCATCTTCCAGGATTCCCTACCAAGGAAGGGCGCAAACCCCAACTGTCCTCTTTGCTCACTCTGGAATCTCTTAGCTGTCTAGCAACTGGCTGGCCAATTGTCTATCTGCTTCCTAGTGTATATGTCGCCTGCGTTAAGCTTAGCACATGTCCAATGCCTCGCTTCACAGTTGAGCTCCCTCACTTTGGGTCCGCATTCTGAAAACCGCATGTCGCTGGTATTGGGCCCCCTGCACAATCGTCGTGTGAGAGGAGATGGCGAACCTGTGCAGACCGGCAGGGAACATCTGTCTCCACATGGGCGGCCCCCGGCAAAAAGCAAAACGGGTTGCAAGCTGGTGGCATGGCGGCAAAACAATTTCCGACAAAATGAAAGGTTCAAGGTTGCACCAAAGAATATATCAAGGCGGATACTCAAAAATGGATGGTTTAAACAAACTTGGTTTCCCAGTCAACCCAAAAGGGGCCTCGCCACAAAAGAACATGTCCAGAAATATGAGACCTCGACAAATGACTTTCCGTTTGGAGGGGGGTTGAGGTCCCTAGCTCCATTTCTCTCGTCTCCACTAAGAATTTGGACTTTCAAGGAGACACACGGCCTTTGGGGGAAGCTGCTTTCGAGCACATGGGCCCCTTTCTGTCATACCCAAGGTGGGTCCTCTCCCCATGACGACTTTTTAAAGTGAGTTTCCCTTGGTATTGCAGAACGTGGCAACCTCAAACCAACAATTTCCCACTCTGGTCGATCCTCTGTTCAGGCATCTCCACAGGACCCACACCATGGACTTGTTGCATAAGCCTTGCAGAAACTTCTGCCAATTTAGGGAACCGAACGGCGACCACTTCTAATGAGGCTCCCAGATCTATGGGCTCTCATCTGAAAGCCCTGCCACTACCTCTAAAGATCGATGAGAGTTGGGTCCTACCGTGACTCTCGGAGCGAAGACACGATCGATCCACACGCCGAAAATATCGCTCGACTCATCACGGACTGCCTCATGAGCAGGTGGTAACAAGGCGGTACGAACCTGGCTCTGAGCAGCTTCGACCACAGGAGGCCCATCTGGATGGATCTCAGCAAGACATTCCCCCTTTCTTGGCCAAGGTGAAAGTACCGTCTGGATACCCCAAGGCACCAACCAAAATGAGGGATCTCAAAAAACCCGGAAGATTGATCTCTTTGCGAGGTCGCTGTAATTCAGGCAGCCAAGAAGGCTAGATGACTGCGAGATGCGCTCTCCCATTTTGCTTTTCTGCCGGCAGGCAGAAGCTTCACCAAGCTCTTGCGGACATGGCTTCTCCGAATTTTCAGAGGGGCATTGGCCCCTTGGCCCAATTAGCTTCCGTTTGGAAGGCAAAAACTGAATGGCAAAAGCCGGGTTCCATTGAAACCCTTCGGAATGTGTGCACCCCTTCCAGTCATCGTAGAAGGTGGCGCACGAGTGTTGCACGCCACGCCTCCTCAGTATTAAGATTCTTCAGGAGTCCAGCATAAACAAATGTTTGCACACAGGAGAAAGTGTGGAATGCCATGTCTCCATGCACCGCCCAACAGCAGCACAGAAAATCCGGCCCTAGGCGCGAGACAATTTACTTGATGCAGATTTGCTGATATTGCTGCAGGTGTTGCCATCAGGAAAAGAACTGTTAACCAACAGGATTGATTTCTGAATTTATGTTCTTGGAAAGATGGCAGCCCAGCTGGGACGGCCACTTGCAAAACAGCCGTTTCCGGCCAGCACTGGTGCTTGGCGCGTTCAGTGCGTGGGGAAGAGGATTGCCTAGTAAGGCAACGGCACACAGCACGACCCAAGCAAACACAGCGAGTTGCCCAGCCGATTCTGAAAAAAACATGAATGAGGTGAAGGTCTTCCAAGCATTTGCTAATCTCCGCAACGTGTTTTCATTCATCAGACATGTAGGCAACGGAAAGAATGTCAAACACATGCATAAGCTTGGGGTCCTCCGCTCAATGGAGTTACAACTTGCTTGCAGTTGGCGGGCTTTCTTCGTTTCCAGGAGGGCTGAGCATGATGAGGGCTTGCGATGTTGTGAGCGCATCAACTGCGAGTGATCAGAATGGAATACCGTTGCAGGATTGCCGGCTGGGCTTTCGTCCCGATACAACCGAGTTTTGATCAAAACTGCCAAACTGGCAACATGCCATGCTCAAGGTAAAGGATCATTTCCAAATTGAGAAAAACACAAGTACATATCCAAGGACATCCGAGTCGAGAGTCCACACTCCTTCAGTGGTCATGTCTGGGGGAAGTTGCCTCGATTGGGCTAGCAAACCTGTCCCACGCCAGTAGCCGCGCAAATCTGGTCATGTCCTAACCTTCGAGGGGTTGTGTGATAATTCACATACGTACGTGCACATTCTACCCTCACAAATTTCACAGCCTTCTCTTGAAACTATTCTCCCCCAAGCTGGGAATGTTGCAGTCGTCTCCACTTTGCTCACCCACGTCGGCTGGGGCTGCAGGCATCATAGGGCAGACTTCAGAGCCTCGCCGCAAAAGAGATCTTCCCTGCATACGTGTCAGGGGCCCGACAAATGAGCTGTTCCCTTTGCTGTCTAGGCATCTCCATATTTTGAGCTACTGCAGCCCAAATACCTGCCTTTGCAAACACCGAAAGCAGCCTGTCTGAGGGAATGACGCCGAACAAGACCTTGACCCAAGAATGAAATCCCTGTCAGTCTTTTTTGACATGGCTTGCATATTTGTGCACGAGAGAAGACTGCCAGTGGACCCTGGGATTCATGAAACGCTCGAAGCAAATAAGCGTTTGATCTGAGCGGGGAATGCGAACTCATTCAAAATCCCAAAACGGCGGCATTGAGCCAGCAGCCATCGAAATCAAGGACCAGTCAATGCGCGGGCGACTCCGACTTTACTTGCTTGGGTGGACACATGCTTGCTGTCCACCTCGGAGCGCCCTTCCAACTGGAAGTAGACCAAAGGGTTTAGGAGACCCGGTGTGAAGTGCCACAGCCTCCCAGGGAGCCGAAGCCTTGCGGGAAAGTGACAAATATTGCTGTCCAAGAGAGTCTAGGGGGGCATGCCGAGAGCCCTGGAAGACAGAGCAGTGCGGTTGGCCCAAGTCTCCCAGGATTTGAGCCTGGGGTCAGTCGTCTTCATCTGGAGGAAGGCACACTGCTGCTGGGTGGACTGGTAGAGCTGCTCACGACATGTGACAAGGTGGCCATAGCCTGCTTGATGTTCCTGTCCGCGGTAGTGTTGGCTTCTGCTGTGCAGTGGGGCCAAGCAAATAGGGCAACATGGGGGGTGCCCCCACCAGTCAAGTTCGGCAAGGAACTGAACTGAACATGTTGTGGGAAATATGCCTTTCGCGATGCCAATGGGTCATCCCCCATGACTACCTTGTCAGCTTAAAGGGAGCTTGCTTTGATTTCAAAACCTCCACCATGGAGCTGAACCCTTCCGATCCCCGCCTCAGTTAGCCGGGCGAGATCTTCCGCGCAGTGCTCCGCGGAGCAGCAAAAGCGCAGGCTCGGGGCGGCTACCTGGCGCAATGCCAGTCGGGCCGATCCGGTCCTTTCAAAGAGAAGGGTCTGCGCGCTTGAAGCGCCAAGCAGTATGCGGTGACACACCGCCCGCACTTGAACCAAACTCTGACTTGGGGGATCTCCAGCCAAAATCACCGGCCCAGGCATGCGCCTGGGCTGGCAGAAATATTTGAGGCTCAGTGCGCGATTCACCGAGCCAAACTGCCCGGCAGCCTGCAAGAAATTTGCCAATTGAGTCGCGGGCGAGGATTGCTTTTTGCCCACGTCCATCCAAACCAGTCTTCCATTGCCATACAAGCGCCAGGATGGATCCTACACGGTAAATATCTGGCAGTTGGCAGCAGAATGAGCTAACCCAAACCAGGAGGCCAGCATACAACCGCTGGAATTTGGGAAGCAAGGTCCACAAGCTCTCAGGATGCAAAGTAGTATCGGGCTTAGCGGCTTAGCCACAGTTCAGGCCAATAAATCAACCAAACCACGTGGCAGCTGTTTTGTTTCATGCTCCAGCACGGGCTCAGCTCCAAATAGAAATTGGTGCCAGTGGTCCTTCCCTTCTCGCAAACCCTTCAGCAGAACGAATTCAGCGTGACAGAATTCGGCTTTCCCACACTGGGCGCAAATTGAGGTCTCTGTCGCCTTGTTCACATCGCTCTTTTTCGGGCGAGAAGGGACAGCAACCTGTCAGACTGCGCATCTTGACGGATCTATGGAACTTCACAGCAAATGACTTTCTTGGGCGAGCACGTGTAGCCTGCGATCAGTGAGATCATTAAAACTTGCCCTCTTTCCAACCAACAGTCACGGACAGGGGTTTCGGAAACGGCTGTCCTCTTGACATTCTGCCCCCCCCCCCCCCCGGTCCACTTCTATGATTTCCCGCCTGCAGAACTCCCAGTCGCGCGCCAAAAGCTCCTTGCCGGGAGCTTGGGGGAGCAAGACAAGTAACGCCAGCTGAGCATGTTGATTCCTCAAATCGGTGTGTCTCAAAATGAGGGGTCCCCCACAAGGCGTACCCTCGTAATAGCCACACCAACATCTTATTGCAACTGTGGGGCCATGAACTTGCGGTTTCTCATTCACTTTAACGCCAGTCCTCGAGTAGGGCTCGCCGGGCTCGCGTTTGGGCGTCGTTTTGTTGGAGTTGGTACCGCTTTCGGGGTTGTCTTCAAGGGAACCAAATCCAAAGGAGAACTACCCACTTGGACATGTGCAAGGAAAATTGGTGCCAGGGAATGCACTCTCAGAGCTCAGAGACTGCGCGCAATGACGCCCAACCGGCCACATGCCAGCATCCACCAAAATTGCCACGCTTTGTCGCTCTTCGCCCGATTGTGAGTGTCCATATCCAAGGCCCATTTCGAAACTCATTTTCCTTGCCAGAGATTGAGCCCCTGCCCTTCAACTTGCATGCCAACCGAAACAACGGTATGCATTGGGCCTGTATCTTGCCACCAAAATCGCTGGTAGGTTTCAGGGAAATGGCCCTTGTTTCTGACCTAGACAACCCCTACTAGAAACCGTCAAACAATGGCTGAGGCTCACAGTTATGTTCAGACAGACTGGATTTAATACCAGTGGCCACAGGGTGGCTCTCTTTGCCACCTCTTGTGAGACAATCAGGCCTACTGGCAAAGCCAGTAGAAAAGTTAGGTAAGGCCTGGCTTCTCATTTTGCCTGCTAGAGTTTCTTTCAGCCCTGGATGGTGGATTCTTGAAATGATCAATTGAACATTTTGCCAGCCAATCACGCGAGTCAAATGCAGCACGACTCCAAACATGTTTTACAAGTACGAAACCTTGAAATCAACGGCACTCCAACTCAAGTCCAGCGTCCAGCGTGCTAAGCCTTGTCGATCCGATAGTCAACAATAAACTTTCTGAAGATGATTGGATGGATACAGGAGATGGCTTTCCATCTCTCACCTTTGCTCACCGATCTCTAGCTTATGAATAGGCAACTTGCCGTCTAAAAGTCCAAGCGCTCCCGTCCTTCCGAGCCGCATTGGCTCGGCGAGCAAACCTCAAGGGCACGGGAGGGGCTCGGCAGCGCTCTTTGGGCTGGGAATACCTGACTGGACGTCTGGGTGAACTACTGGAAACAACCAAATTGAACCTTGAGGGGCTAGGGTACCCATGGAATCGGTGGCTTACTGCAGTCTATATAGTATGTGGGCTGGTTTATTCCCTGGAAAGTGAGCGCATGAATGATTGCTTGGCAACTCGCGAGCCGGAGTCAGTCGCCCCGCAACAGGACCTATTGGGGATCCTGCCAGCACAGTTCTGTGTGCGTTCACTGTGGGCTAGTGGCAACACGGACACAAGGAAATCATCGGTGAATGTGGCACCACAGAGCGCCACAGAAGCTCACAATGTGATGATCGAGGGCCGCACATGCAACAGGGGAGAGTCAACATGCTGGGGCCCTGTTAATCCCCCCCGGCCTCACGACAAGCGCGACTCTTGCATGCGCTTGCGCTTGCAGAATCGGTTACTG